TGAGAGCAGCATATGTAAAGATAAGTATACAGAGTAAACTTGTACCGTAACTGTTGGTGCTAATATGAATAGTGCAGTAATAGACTCTGCAGGTATGAATAGTGCAATAATACTAGGAAAACATAAAGTACAGTAACAGTGCAGTGAGTGCAAAGATGCGGTTAAAGTGGTGATGTGAGTTTAACAGAGTCACGGCCTCAGGGAAGACGCTCTTCCTGAGCCTGCTGGTGCAGGAGCGGAGGCTTCTGTAACGCCTGCCAGATGGGAGGAGGGTAAAGAGTCCATGGTTAGGATGAGAAACATGATGATATTCCTCGCCCTGCCGAGGCAGTGCTTATGGTAAGTGTTCTTAATGGAGGGCAACTGGTTGCCTGTGATGCGTTGGGCAGTTTTCACTACCCGCTGCAATGCTTTGTGGTCAGATGCAGAGCGGTTGCCGTGCCACACTGAGATGCAGTTTGTGAGGATGCTCTCAATGGAACAGCGGTAAAAGTTCACCAGTATCCCTGGACACTGGTGAGCTATCTTAAGGCTCCGTAGGGGGTAAATATGCGGTTGCGTCTTTTTGATCATGATGGAGGAGTTTAGGGAGCAGGTGAGATCATCCGAGATGTGGATACCAAAGAACTTGAAGCCAGGCACACGCTCTACCTCAGCTCTGTTGATGTAGCTCCTACCCTCCTAAATTTATTGTTAAAACTGTGTTGAATGATCAGCAGAGCTTTATTTTACTGAAAAGGAGGATTATCTTATTTTTACCTAAAAATCTAATAATTCTGCTGTGAAGCCGCAACAGGGCAGTAAAAGAGCCGCATGTTGCTGACCACTGCTTTAGAGTATGGTATTGTTGCCAAGCAACCACGGACAGCTGAATGAAGAGAAGAATATTTTGTCATTCATCACTGTGTATTTCAGTTATTTCCTAAACCTTTTAACTTTTTGTCGAATACATAACACTGTTAACCTCAAAAACATTTGTGTTAAAAGTACTTTTAGGTCACCAAATTACCACCGCGATGACAATGATCATTTCAAAAACACAAAAAAAAACATCACTTAATTGCAGAAAATGTGTTTCGGTAATGACAATTTTTAATGTCACACACTGATTTTCAGACTTTGGGACATATTTTCTTCAAAACAAAGGGATCTAACTGGTCACTGTGCAGCCATAAGGGACAGGGATACAGACTCACTTCCGGCTCTGAAATATAGGGGTGTAACAATATTATTTTGAATAAAGTTTATTTATTTAAATAATTAAACTAAATATAAATCTTTCAATTTCACCTAGAAAATCTTTTATAAAAACAACACTGAAAAAAGCACTGAGTATTATTTTCACAAGTGTAAATTTAGGGGTTAGGGTTTGGGACAGACACCTCCCAATGTAAAGTAAATAAATTATGATTTTGTATATAAATGATGATTTTGTATGTATTTAGCTTATTACTATCTCAATTAATGTCTTAGGTTTAAATGGATCATAACAGAATCCTTGTAAATATCTAAGGTCTGAATACTTAATTGTTTTTTCAGTGTGGGACTGCAGTTTGAACTGATTCAGTAAAAGATCCTTATACAGTGTCTATAGTGCAGCATTATAACCCTCAGTCTCTGCAGTTCGATAGAAGTTCAGATCGGTAGAATTTCCAAAATTCAATCTATTTCAAAATCATAAGGAAAACAAATGGAGATCATTTCAGCCAAAGAAAAAAGCTGAAGTGAGGTAAAGGTATTTCTATACATAGGCCATATAAAAAAGGAGAAAAGAAAAATGGAACAAAAAAAAAGGAACAAATATCTGGATCACACAAGATCTTGTTGTCTTTCTCATCTCATGTCATTTCAGTAAATTGAGCAGTCCATTCTCATAAGTTTCAGCTGCAGTAAGATATTTGGATCCCTAACTCTAGCATTAGCTATCTCGTTTCTTTCTGCATTCACCAGCTAACCAAAAAAAGGATACACCCCCAAAAAAAGTTGACCTAAAAGTCCAAGTTTTAGAAGTTCCTCCTATTTTCAAGACACATCATCAGAAGAAGGTTTTTCTAGTGTTTAACCCAATATATGCCCAGGGCCCAAAGTTTTATTATACATTTCTATAACTTAAGAATAGTTCAACCAGTTTGTATTGAAGTCCTTGTAGTTACTGAATGTAAGCCTTAGTATGTAATAACTAACTAACTAACTAATAACTAAGTCTTGCATTTTAAAGGGTTACACTGCTAAATCTCACTCTAGAGACTTCTGTGTGCTTTAGGATGCAAGTAAGCATGTTTATAACAGACGTACTGAAAACAAGAGTGCCCCTTCTGATACTTTTGTATGATAAGACTTTTACTAATACGTGTACCAGTAAAGACAGTAATCTATGCTTTTACTCAGATGCACTCAAATTCATAGTGAGTTACTAATTCTGTTTTGGGTTTAACTTATTTCTATATATTTTGCTCCTGAACTGCTTTGCTGTTGTTCCCAACTTTTGAGCTTTGACATTTTATTTTAGTCCAAAAGGATCCCAAAAAAAGTCCCTGTGCTCATAGATGTTGGATGTACTAAGAAGTTCCACTGTAGTTCTAGAAAAAACATTTTTAACCTGATATTTTTTACTCCTAAGTTGTTTTTGACAGGCTACTGTTATGCATTTGAGTCGTTGCTGGGTCATTGGCTTTACTCACTTCTGGTTATACAAAGTCTGTTGAACCGAATGAACTCAAGCTACATGACCATGATGAATGGTATGGAGCCCTTTGTTCTCGTGTGAGTCCAACCTATATCTCAATAATTACATAATCAGCCTGGCTAGATCTTTAAGTCTATGTCTACGTCTCAAAGGAAGACAGATGTTTCCACAGGAACTCAGCGTTTCAGCATACAATACATGTGTAAACGCTGCATAGTACAGCAATGACCTCAGCACACCGATGTGTCCATCCTTAAAGCTCCTGAAGTCATGTCTCTGAGATGTGGGGTGGACCATTTCCTGAAGTACTTAGAAATGCTATTTTCAGGAGATATTTCTGAGGAGATTAGATTCGTACCCTTGTTTGAGGAAGGGGAAAGCCAGGTCAAAGTTTTAATCACTGTTGAAATTAACAATGAGTGTGTTTACATGCACTCAATAATCCGATCAGTCTGCTAATGTGCGAGAACAGACCACGGTACCAGAAATAAGCACAGTGTTGCTGTGAGATGGCAGCAAAAGCGACACTGAAATCAAATACATGCTTGATGAAATGAAGGATTTAAATATTCTTCATCTTCTAGATGATGTATGTTCGTATTTTCAAGTAAAGCTGTGTGATGTTTTTTAGAAAAAGCCACAGCAGGAAGTTTGAGTTTTCCATTACATTTACGTCACGTCTTCATCTGTGAGTTTATTGGCCGGTTGCAAAGCAGAAATCTGCTTACTGTCTGACTCATGTAGACCCAGAGTTTCTCCATTATCTGATTACTCAAGTGCATGTAAACACATTGATCAGATTACGGAAAATATGTGATTTTCTGCAGTTATTGGATTATTAAATGCAAGTAAACGCACTCAGTGATTAAATGATATAGAGAAAATGGAGAGAATCGTGCAAGAAGAAAACTTGCAAATCAAACAAATAAGCTGCTGGTACTCCCAGAAGAATGGACTGACCACCCCACAGTCCAGACCTCAACGTCATTAGAGTTTGGGATTACTTGTAAACTGTGGAAACTGTGTTTTTCTGTTATATGATCACTCTTTAAAAAATGTTATGATCACATTTACTAATGTAAAGAGAAAATTTTTCAGCTTTCGATGGACACGCGTTGCAAGGACAGAAGGGCAGAGGACGTACAGGACTGCTATGGTTCCAGCAGGATATCCGTCTGTAGACAGTGAGCTGCCGGTAAAGAAGCTGTCTATTCTGACTTCCCAGACAGACAAATAATTAGCATTTTCCTAAAATTCCTTCCTTAAATTTAAACATGCGGCCGGCCTTTCCTCCTAAATCTAATTAATAGTTTAATCTTAGTACCCCCATTTACTAGACATTTCAAATATCGAATCTGGTTTGAAAAAAGAAAAAGTAACAAGACACAAAGAATAAGAAATACTGCTTTCTATTGTTTGTATCTGTGCAAACTATGTAAGGCCTTTGCGCACACAGTCTAACAGCCTCTCGCCATAAGGCACGTTTCCAGTTCTAATGTGTAGAAAGAAATGTATAATAACGAGACCGCCGCTAGATGGCGATCTAGAACATCTAAAACAACAGTAAAGGATGGAATAATCAGAAAAAAAAATCAACATGTTGCTTTATCTGGAGCCCAAACCTTCATATTCTGGTACAGTAGGGCTTAACTGAACTCCAGCCATCACCTTTCGTTCTCTGTTATTCAAATGAGAACACAGAAGACAAGAGTGAATGGTACTGGGCTTTTTTATAACAGCCCGTGGTTAGTTAAAATACTTTTACTTTGAAATTCGTTTGCAGTTTATCACTGTGTTTCGCTGCCATTGCAAACCACAATAGAAGTCCCCGGTGAAACGTCATTTTTTCCCACACTTAAGACGAATGAAAACATATGAAAAGTAATAATATGTTTAACTCCTTAAAAATGTTAAACTTAAATGAAAGTACCTGCCGAACATATCTCTATATTTTCAGATTTAAAAAATTATACAGATCCAGAACCGTAAAGGATTTACTTAACAAGGATAAAAACACACCCCCCTCGAAAAAAACTGATATTCACTGATATTTAGAAATGTCTATGAGAATTTGTAATTAAATTCTGTCAAAATAAAAATCCCTACTATTTTTTATAGACTATAAAAAAGAAAAAATATATTAGCTAAAAATATAAAAATAAAATAAAATAACGATTTATAAACACACTGATGAATGAATACACAGATATTGAGAAAAAAAACTGCGGCTGCACGGCCTCACATTCCTTTGTGGTCACCTGACCAAGCCCAGCCGTGGTCACGTGATCTGGGCTCCATTCTCGCCATTTTGAGCGCAGTAGTGTGAGGGGGGGAAGAAAAGTGAGATCACTTTATTACAGTCAGAGAATAAAGCTGGAAATGACCACGCGCTGAGGGACAAAGATCACTCCGAGTTGCCGCATCAGTAAGTAACCCTCACAGGCGTGTAAAAGTCGCATGACTGTAAGCTGTTTATTACCCAGGCTGAGTGCTTTAGTGGGTCTTTTGCCCCTCTGTGCCCCTCTGCTCGCCATGCTGTGTATGTGTACGTGTGCGCGCGTGCACTTTAGGTGTGTGTTCTGTGTGTGTACGCGCGCGTGCATGTGCACGTTCGCTTTGTGTACTGTGTGTTCTGTAGGTGTCTGTATGTGTATCTTAGTGTCCTGTAGATGTGTGCATGTGTGTGTCAGACACGTCCAGCCCTTTTCTCACTTTGTCTCCAAGACCGGCTGAAGTTGGCCTCAGGCGCCAGAATGTAACTACTGTACTATTTAAGGTGGAACGGGACAATTCGAACAAGACATGGACACCGTGTCCTCAGGATTGACTGTTTGACATGAACGTTACTCGCAGAAAGTCGTACCGCTCCATTAAACCATGTACAAATGTGTTCGAGTGCATTTAGTTACACTGAGGAGTTTTACTGTTTAGTCTTGTGTCATCAGCCCTTGTTCACGAATGAACAGCTAAGCTAGCCAGGTTGTACATGAAGCTTAAAGGGCCCATATGTTTAATGTTTCTTGTAATGTATTTGTCTTCCTGGGGACCTGTTGTAACGTTTGTGTGAGCTTAAGTACCAAAAAAAACAGTCATAATTTATTTAACACGAACCTCTCTTTATCCTCTAGAATTAAACATGCTAGTAACTTTAAGGCTGATGTACGTAAATGACCTTTCCTCTGATTGGCTGCCCTGTACTGCCCCGCATTCAGAAAGCGACCTGGTCGGAAACACTTCTTATAACTTCATTGTGCGAATAGGTGATACTAAACTATTGTAGGCTGATACGCATCAATTTTTATGACATCACAAAAACAGTAAGTTTAAAATAGACAGCTTACATACAACAGCAGAGTGTTTTATTTAAAAAGGGTGGGGGAAATGCAGTATTTGATAGAGGTGGACGATATGGCAGAAATATAGTATTGCAATACTTCACAAAGTTTTCACAGTATATGGTATTTTATGATACTTTTTCAACCATCTGAGAAAAAAGAACCAGTAGTGCTGCACTTCAAAAATATTCTCAAAATCTATGAATACAATGATTTTCATTCAATATTTGGCATGCTGTGTTGCACTAAATACAGTTAACAGGGGCAAATTTTTGCTCTTTTTATAATGAAATGGGCAGTTAGTGTTCTACAAGTACTGACAATATGCACAATAAGTTCAGAAAAGCATATTGTATTCCATTGTGGCATAATTTATCACAATAACGATATATTGTCATATTGCCCAGCCCTTGTTTTCAGTGATATGGGCCCTTTAAGTAGTAACAGCAATGCCCGTAGGCAGTAAAGCAAACCATTCAGCAGGTAACAGCAGCCCTGTTTGTCCGCCCAAACACTGCTTGAACTCAAGATTACTTTTAGCCTAAGCTTTTCTATTGGTGTGGTCTAGCTAAGCTCGCCCATGTGCTTGTATTACACGTGTGTGGTGGTAGGAGGGGAAGGCATGTCCTCACACCACGCGAGCGTGTTTGACTTTCCTCAGTGAGTAAGTCCAAGAAAGCAGAAGCTGAGTGGTTGTGGTCAGAGAGGGAAAGTAATTTGTAGAAACCACATCTTTTTTTTTTCTTTCTCTCTCTGTAAATACTAATGATTGTGTTCCCAGTTTTAATCAACTTGTAGATAAGAGCTCCAAAAGGTTTATCTGTGCAGACAGAGCCTAATAACCAGCTCAGTGATAACAGTGTAAGCCGTACGATAGTGAGTGAAGAAAAGAAAAGCCAGGTTGCTTTTGTCTGAGGGGTAAAGCTGTGATCCACAGTGGTCCTGAAAAGTATTGGTGCTGTATTAAAAATGGGTTTGTGTCATTGAGTTAAACCAGAATATCAAAACAAGTGGCATTCATTTAAAACAGCTTCAGCATTGTGCTTGTCTTTTAGGCACACTGTTCTTCCCAAGGCAAGCTGATACATTTCAGATCGTTATTGTTTGAGCAAGTTTTTTGCAAATGCATCCAAAATGCCTTTGTGCACTTCTGAGTTCAGGGTCCCATCTGTGAGCACAAGCTCCTTTAGACTATTGTAGGACAAACTACAGACTTTGACATTTCCAATTATGTGCGTTACAGTAGCTTTAGTGCAGTCTGGATGGGATTCTTCTCAAGGCTTTCTCCTCACAGAGAATCTACCATCAGTTTGATGTTGTGCTTACAGTGAAACAAATCATTTTGTTAAACATTTTATGAAGTAACTTCATAAAACTTCACAAAACTTCATACAAGTTTACTTAAGGATTAAAGTGCCCAAAAACTTTAGGGGTCCGATGCTATTAAGTTTTAAGCAGTGTGGTAAATACGATGCAAACATGCTATAATAGCATTGTGTTTATTTTAAACGAGGCTCCAACTGACCAGAGCAGAGCGGGTCATCCACCTCCCAACGTGTCATTAAAAAAAGGCGAACAGCTGACTTCCTTCACAGTTCCTAATGAGTGATATTTATAGGGTTGTGAAGTAATAGCCTCAGCTATTCTGGTTACAGTCAGGGGCTCTTCACTGGAGTAGTGCTTAGTTTTACAGTAATGAACATCGTTGGGGATGAAACTTTCACATCTCTGTGCAGATTTTCATCACTTTTCCCTTTTAAAGGTTTCACCTCCAGTCCATATCCAGCATGTCTCATCCTCTTAATCAAGGACCTATAAAAGCAGTAGATGGATCAGATGTGTTGAATGGAATTGCCAGAATTGGATTTATTCAGCATATTAATATGAATTAGGACAATGTGTTACTTTCTTTGTTCACTTTGTTACATTTATAGTACTGTGCTAAAGTTGGAGACCACTTTTTTTTTGTTTTGTTTTGTTTTTTAATTTCCAGTCAAAACAGTGATTATTTACAAGTTATTTGATTTTAAGCTTCATGAAACAGAAAATATATATTTAACAGAACATTATACAGAAACCTCAATTTTAAATGGAGCAGGGGTTCTTAACCTTTTCCAGGCCAAGGCCCATCTGTGTATAACTACAAAGCACAGCAGCTCACAGGAAAACTAAAATAAACTTTTTTTTTAATACAACTTTATTTTTCTTTTCTTAAATGCTGACAGTGAAAACCTGAGAATCAGGGCCTGAGAAAAAGATCAAATCGGCCATTCTGGTTGTCAGTAGGTTTGCAAAGTTTGCAGTTATGTCAAAAAACATTAAACATGTTTTAAAAACACACACACGGATGTAGATATGTTAAAAAGAGGGAAAAACAAAAAAAATAGAAATGTACATAGTAGATACATGGACTGTGATTTGGAGCTGCAGTCCATCGTATTTTCACTGAAAATGCTCCACAGGCTTTCCCAAAAGAGTAATTGTTTGGTCTCGAGATGTCTCTAGTTCTGAGGGTTTTTGCGATTCATCTGAATTAGCCGAACCTCACTCCATTCACTGGGCTTTTGGTTTAGCATCATCACAATCAAAAATAATGGTGAATCTTACTTGATATCTACTTCTTTGTCATTGGATCAGCAATTTGAGTTTAACCACTCGGGTCGCTGATGTTCGGTGAAATACGTTCCGCGATCCATGAGTTGAAATCAAACACATCTTCATGAGCAGTGAAATGAACCAGGGCAAACCCTGGTTGGATGTGGACCGAGACCCATGTTTTTTTGCCAGACCAGTTCAGCTGTTTGTTGCAGACCCGAATACAGGTGGAGTGTTCACACGTCAAAATGGAGCAAACTGGAGAAAAAGGTGTAGTAAATCCACAGCAAACAAAGTGCCCTAAGAAACTTCTCTATCTCTGACTAGCAGTCTGCATCACCTCAGGCTGATGGTGTTTAATTATCCCACTACTGCATCGTTTTTATTTGTAGATTTCTATTAATGTTTATATTGGTTATAATATGAAAACTTTCATTCTTAGAGTTTTAATTATGAAGTTCTTTTTTTCCTTTTCTTGCTTCTGTGACTTACAGTGACGTTACCGGCCCGCTACAAACTACTGCCTCCCTCCGAGTACAGGCTCGCAGATCATTAGAGGGTGCTTCATAGCCCTCTGGTGGTCTGCTGCCCATAGGTTGAGAAACCCGGAAATATAGTATGATTTTTGTTTTTTTTTCAGCATCTGCTGTGCCATTTGCCTTTATTATATTCTTTCCCTAGTCTTGTTTTCAGTTTTTCAAAGAAATGTGTTAAAGAAATATTTTTCTAGTTTTATAGTTTTTAGAAATGCTTTTGCTTCTTTATGAATTTACTCATCGGCATTACTCCACATCTCAAATGTACAGTTTTGTTTTCCTAGTGGATTCTTTTTCTCTGTCTTCTTTTCTCAGTAGTTGCTTTTTTGAGAGCAACATAACATAGTAACGTGATGTCAGTAACACCTTTGTGAACAGCTTATGTTGGGAGGACACAGCTGTAACTTGTTGATTTTAAGATTAGAAAGATTGATGAGTTAAAATACAGTGCACAAAAGTAAAAAGTGGACAAATTACATACAAATATATTTGGTATCACATTTAGTGTTGAAGGCTTTTGCGTCTTTTTTTTTATACGTTTCCTGTTTTTTCTGATTCTGAAAAACAAATAACTGAATGAGTTAAATGAAAATTAAACAAGCAGAAGGGTGGTCTCTCTCCCTCTTTTGCACAGTACTGTGTATTGCCCGTTCAATAACCATAGAAAGCAGTGCGCACATGGAATGTAAACAGAATGTAGCACAACTTAATCCCATGCATGTTTATATTAAACATACATAGGTTTAAATTGTGTTACAATCTAAAAATACAAAAGTACAAGTAAGAGATAAAAATAGCAGCTCTGTGGCAGCTACATTGTGTAGTTACTGTACAAGTCCAAGATAAGTATAATATGCATGATGAGTGCCCAGTGAAAGAAGCACAGATGGCTATGATAATAGCAGTACAGTGCAAAGAGATACTACTGGTAAGTCAACATTCGTGGTTTTCTTGAATGCTGTCAAGCCAGTTTAGGAAATACCAGGAAAAAGGTTTTAGCTAAATTGTGTGTGAGGAGGGTTGGTGGCCACTGCTTTGAAGCAGTTCATTTTGGAAATTTCCTTCATGTATGTTATTGTTTTTTTGTGCTCAGGTATGGAGGACAGCAGTGGTGTTGCAGTCCTGGTCCCTCACCCCAGAGGTCAGCAGGAGACTGTATTTGTCCCTGATCCGCACCTTCACGATGACCAGCAGAATCAGCACAAGCAAGCTGCAGACTCGCTCATCCAGGTGATCGAGAAGCTCAGTAAGATTGTGGAGAAGCGGCCAAGACGGTGCGCTTTACCAGGGAAGAAGAGGCCCTCGCTGACCTGCGCCTCAGTGACTGTTGCAGACAGCAGAGAGGGAAGCGGAGGGGCTTCACCCTGCAAGATGTCCAGGGAGCAGGATGAGGAGGGCCACACTCGCAGCTGCACCTCAGGGCCTGCTGTAGGGCCCAATAATGGAGGCCCCCGGACAGTTACCTGCTACCAGTGCAGCCTGTGCCGCTTCATATCCCCCACATTGAGCGCCTTGAAGAAGCACCTCAAGCAGCACGACGAGCACCACAGCGACCTCATCCTCGAGTGCTCGGAGTGCCGTTTCACGTCCAGCCAGCAGGAGGAGCTGGAAGCGCATGTCAGGCTTCACTTTGAGCAAGGGGCTCGATCAAGGGGGAGCTTGCGGGGGCAGACAGGGTTTTCCGCCACAAAATCTGAAACTGAATCTGAGAAAATGCCAGCTGCGCCCAAAAAGTGGTACAGTTATGAGCATGGTAAGTACATTAGTGTAATATAGATAGATATATGCATACACGGCCTGGCCAATAAAAAAGTGAACATTTGGGTTTAAATAAGCAAATACTTAAGAGCCTTTGATTGGGTAATTAGTGCAGTGGTTAATATGTCTCAGCTGGCAATAAATCTTTTAACCCTAACTGATGCAGTAAGAAAGCTTCTCATTTCTTAAATAACCGTGTCGGAAGCCGTAGTCCGTTGTTGTGGAAAAGATGTTTCAGAAAGGTCAGATTATTGGCCTTCATCAAGCAAAGTAAAGTTACTGGAATTGGATTAAGAACTGTCCAACGCATTATTAAAACCTGCAGTGATAGTGGTGAACCGTCAACTTTGTGGAAGAAACATTGTCAGAAAAAACACTTGCATGACCGTGATCATCTGAGCAAGAGCATTTTCACACACACAGTGGAATGAGAGCTCACAGGATTGGAACAGCTGTGTAGTCAGTTGTTAGTGAGGCTAATTGGGGGAAAAAAAGCCTTCAATGTTAGGAAGCACAAAGATTGGACTCTGAAGCAATGGTAAAAGGTCCAGAGTCCAGATTTACCCTATTCCAGAATGATGGGCACATCAGGGTGAGAAGGGAAGCGCTAGGGCTGAAAGATTAACCGTTTTTTATGTCAAAATTGCAGTTTGAAAGAATGCAATTTTCAATTTGCAAGAGCTGCGGCTTTTATTATAGAACATTATCAATGATTTTTGTTGTCTTAACAAATTTTTAAATGGAGAACATTTAGCCTAATAGCACAGAGCATGTAAACTGCCTGTACTCAACGTTTAAGCTTCATGCCAGAAAAGAATATGTTCTGGTCATCTAGGCCAAAAAACAGGCCTGAAATTTAGTTTATAGAAAATAATTTTCTATGCATTTAAATCACAATATTGGTCAGAAAAATCGCAATTATATGTTTTCCCCTAGTTGTTTAGCCCTAGGAAGCCGTAGCCTTAGTTAGTCAGTTCTAATCTTAGCAACATTATTTGGCAATAAAATGAAATCAGCAGAACACCTGAATGTACTGAATGACCAGGTCATCTTATCAATAGATTTTTTTCTTCCCTGATGGCACGAGCGTATTCCAGGATGACAATGCCAAGATTTCACAGGCTCAAAATGTGAAAGAGTGGTTCAAGGACCTTAACCTCATTGAAAGTCTTTGGGATGTGCTGGAGAACACTTTACAGAGTGGTTAGACTCTCCCAATATTTCAGCCAAAAAATAATGCAACTCTGGACAGAAATAAGGCTGGTGACCTTGCTTGAGATTGTCGAAACAATGCCACAGTGAATGTGCACTGTAAAAATGAAATATAAGAGTGGGTGATTTCCTTTTTTGACCAGGCTGTGTGTGTGTTTGTTTGTGGAATGATTTTTGGAATGATTTGGTTTCATAGTTTCTTGAGCTTAACTTCCTAGTTATGTACGGTGGCCGACAAGACCCTATTTACAGAACGATTACAAACACCTTTCAGACTCATAAACATGCTGCAAACACAGAAAACACTCAACAACATAACTACATCAGAGCGACATTTTACAAGCCCACTGCAAATAAAGGAAACACAGGCAACTTCAGAAACGCTGCAAAGCCGTCACAACACAGCGAAAAAGTGTCTGGAAGACTCTAAGGGGATGGAATATCTGTGATGGAAAGTCACTGACAAAAGTAGAGAGGACCACAGACACTCGCATCCCAAGTTCATGGTTAACCTGACTGGCTAGTTTGCTGTCTGACCTGTCACAGCTGTACTGTGGTAGTTCTCTGGTATTACTAGTTTAACCTTTACAGTTAGACTCTACAGCTAATTCCCATTACGATACAGTGATGTCAGTAATCTGCTCAAATAAAAGTTAACTTACTTTTACCAGTGAATGTTTGTGCTGCATAGAATTTAAAATTCTGAATGGCTCCGTCCTCTTTCAGTGTCCTGCAGAAACATCTCAGTTGTGTTGTTGCATGTGGTTTCTGTGTTTACGGCACATTCGTAAATGTAGCACCGTGTCGTCATTTTGATGAAAGTGTTTTCTGAGTTTGCTGAGTGTTTACAGATTTGCAACACGTTTGTAAAATGCAGCACCCATGTTGTCATTTTGATGAAAGTGTTTGAGTTTGCAGCTCGTATATTCTCCTTTCCAGAAAATGGAAAACCTGATATAAATTCTTGTTTGTATTATCATCCTCTAGGAAGGTATCGCTGTCTGATCTGCAGCTATGAGTGTAGGCAGCAGCGTAACCTGAAAACACACGCTTGGAAGCATGCTGGCTTAGTGGACTGCTCCTACCCTATATTTGAAGATGAGGATGACCAGCGTGTTAATCCTGTACCCACCCTCAGCAGCAGCCCTTCCTTAGCTCGTAGTAAGGAAGAGGAGGCTATAGTGGTCCTCACACCTGTAGGACACAAAGGCCAGGTTCTGCAGAGCAGCACTTCCATTCAGCTGGAGCTTTGTGCACCAGAAGAAGTGAAGTGTAATAAAGTTATTGCAGGAGGCACTGAAGAACTTGAGAGTCCTGTCGGTAATGTTTTTTCTATCAGAGGACCTGATCCTCAGGAGCCCTTGGTGGAAGTTCAGTTGACTCCGGAAGCACAGATGGAGCTGGAGCTAGAGACGGAGAGCCAGCAGATGAGCTCAGACAGCCTTCTGTCTTCAGCACAGAAGATAATCAGCTGCAGCAGCAACGGTGCCGGCCACGTCAACGTCATTGTAGAGAGGCTGCCCTGTGCCGAGGAGCCGGTAGCAAGCAAGTCTCTTCTCCTGAGCCCAGAGGTAGCCGGAGATAAGACCCTGCTTGCTTCCAAAGAACCAGGATTAGAGAACCAGCCCCATCCCATCTACTATGAGGAGCAGGAGGAGGTTGTGATTGGCTGGAGTGGTGGAAACACACAGCAGGAAACAGAAAAAGGAGCATCTGGTGATCCACCCCCAGATGAGAACATGCCTCCAGCCCGAAGGCGGACACACTCGGAGTGTTTGAGACTCCACTCTTTGGCGGCGGAAGCCCTTGTTGCCATGCCCACGAGAGCTCCGGAGCTAAGCAAGTCCACTGTTAAGGGAATGGTGGGTCTTGGCACACAGATCCCAGACACAGGCCAAAGAATCATCGAGCTGTCCGCAGCTTCTGCTGCCACAGTCCACTCAAAGAATCCTTCAGGACCCATCCCAGATCCAGCCACCCTGCTGAGTCTTGGCCTAGGTGGGGTCCCGCAAGGTTCCAAGGAAGAAGTCCTGGTTGAGGGACCTTCCAAAGCTGGAATTAGCATGTCTCTGCTGACTGTCATTGAGCGGCTACGCGAGAGGTCGGACCAGAACGCCTCAGATGAGGACATCCTGAGGGAGCTGCAGGACAATGCCCAAAGTCAGCATGGCGGAGGGGGTGCAGGGGTGGTGGTGGGGTCAGGGGACCCCTCTATCCCAGAGGGCAGCCTGGTAGAGTATATCGCTGGGAGCGAAAAGCCGTACCGCTGCCGACTGTGCCTCTACAGCAGTGGGAACAAGGGCTACATCAAGCAGCACCTGCGCGTCCACAGGCAAAGGCAGCCCTACCAGTGTCCAATTTGCGAGCACATTGCCAGCGACAGCAAGGACCTGGAGAGCCACATGATCCACCACTGCAAGACCCGGATGTACCCCTGCAAGCACTGTAGCGAGACGTTCCATTATAAGGTGAGCTTGCACGCATTCTTTTTAATTAAACAGAGGTTCCCAGTGTTGGTCTTGAAGTACCCCTGCTCTGGACAGTGTTATCCTTGCTCTGCAGGTTTATCTGTGGTGGTACAATAATTAAAATGATTACTGACAAGGTATGTGATTGTAATCCAGATTGAATCTGCAGTGTCTGAAGTTTGACAAGTAATCATTTCAGAGTGAATGGCATTCTCTTACATGGCATTTGTGGTAGTCCTGTTTGAACTGACCTCATGGTAATGTATAACAAAATCCTTAATAGACTGTTGCACCATGTTATTATTAAGTTTCTCATCTGTCACACAAGCAGACATTTACATTTACAATTCTGTGACCTTTCAGTCTAGCCTGAAATCATTTTGTGAGATGATACTGATACTTTTCCTCCTCCTCCTCCAGTTCAACCAGTCAAATCCCACAAATTGCATAACAGAACCTCCACTAGTAAAATGAATCCAGCATTAATAAAGCTTCACACTTTAGGAAGGGCTCATTGATTTAGCTAATGAGTTGGACCAAGTATGTTTGAGCAGGGAAAACCAATTATGCTGGGCAGGGGTGCTCCAGGACCAGGACTGTGAACCACTTCTATAAAATATCTCTTAGGTCATATCGTGTAATGCAGGCTTGTCTAATTCTAGTCTCAGAGGCCCATAAGGTAGCGCATTACAAAAGAACCAAAGTTGAACTCGCTATTCTATGTACACAAAGAAGTTGGTGTACATGTTTACGTCTTATGGCTACAGGCCACTCCATGCTTACGCAGACAACCGTGTGACGTGTACCAATTTTAGAACAAACAGTGCTGTGGGTAGGAGGTCTGTTAAGCAGCCAGTGCACACCAGTCTCAAACCACTGAGTTGTTTTGGCCAAAAATACATAATTTTGCTTTTGCTAATTTTTTTTTTTTTTGCGTGGAGTATATTGGCTTTAGCCCAGGACAGTTTTTCTGCTCAGATACATCTATGAAATCAGCTGTGTTTGAACAGGGTGGTCACCAAACTGTGCTGTACCAAGGCCCTCCAAGACCGGATCTGCCTGTGGTATAATTTGTTCATACTACTCAGCAAACCTTTTACATGAGACATCACTAACACTCTTTGAATGCTGAGAATGTTAATCTGCGGAGGACGATGAAGACTGTGTTGAATAGTCTGCTCTTAAAAACGCTTTTAGATCTGCTTTGAAGTCCTTCAGCCATGACAGGTTTTACATTGAAGCAGGCCTTGGCGCTGAAAAACTGTATAGGTGTGTATTGAAGAATTTTCTAAAGTGTTCAGGTTTAATAATATATCATCTTACAAACCGTGCTTCCTTTCACAGTATGCACTCCAACATACAGTTACTCAGTACTTTTTTATGCTCATATTTGTTCACTTTTTTCATATAAGCTTCATGAAGATGCATACATTTTCACCATGCATCTATATCGCAGCTCTCAAAACAAAACCTTGTATCTCCAAAATGTTAACTTTACAGGACAAGCAAAAAACATACTTGACTTTTAATGTAAGTCAGTGGAACCAGAATTTTTTCATTTTGGGTCGTTTTTTTTTTTTGTCCGTCCATCATGAAATTTACACACAATGTAAAGAACAACAGGTGTTTTCAAATTATGTCAAAAACTGAAAAACGACCAAAATGGAGGTTCTGTTCTGACAGTAGCGATATATTGGATGTAATCAGGATATATTAAGGTTCCACAAGTTTGGGAGTATTGGCATAATTTAGTAATCTAGGATTACTTAAAATGTAAAAGAAAAAGAGATGAATAGAAGCCAACCAAGGTATTAAGAATGCTGGAAGCACCACTGCAATTTTTATATTAGGTAAAAACAGCATTTCATATCAGTAGAGCACTGTTTAACTAAAACTGTTGGAGTCTGTTTCATTTTTGACCTTATAAATTTATATTTCCCAGTGCAATCGGTTATTTGAATGTTTAGCTTCCCGAAACCAGTATTGCCATTGGCGTTTCTCATATCGACTCGGCTGTTTACACTTGACCGGGTTGGCCGGGGTTCTACATTGCTTTAGAGGGCAAGGCCTAAAGCTGGAGGATGTATTGATTTCTCCGCTTCCTCGGACAGGCCCTCTGCACAGCAGCAGGGATCATTAAGCACATCACTGAGCGGGCTCAGGGGTTTAGAGTTTCTAATTGTGGAGCTGCTGGCCAGCGTGCCTCCTCTCCTCTCCTCTCCTGTCTGCCTTGTATGTATTAATAAAGTAGCTGCTTATGATGAACCGCTGACGGGTTTTATTAATACCTCTCTCTCAGAGTCAGCTGAGGAACCACGAGAGAGAGCAGCACGGGATGGGTGACACTTCAGCAGCCCTGATGGCTGTCAGCGAAACCGCAGCAAGCACAGACGAGTCTGAGAAGATGACAGAAGAGGGTGAGAATGGATGTCGTTTCTGAATGCATGTCATTTCACTCTGTGGCCTAAACAAGCATTACTGATTATTGCTTCATCCACAACTGGAGACGAAGAAAGCATTAAATTCAACTAGATTTCAACCCGTTTTTTTTTTTAGCTTCAACTTTGTTCTCAAATTAGTTTGAAACCATTAAATGGAATTCAAAACTTCTGCATGATAAAACATTAAGATGTAAAAAGTCATTCAGAGTGGTTTGTTGTGAAAAGCTTCATTGGAGAGAAACTTGTTGTGTCAGAAGGGGTAAGGGGAACCAGATGTCCGAAGAGTTTATAACCTCTAAAAGCTGCATCACAGAAATTTAGTACATGAAATGATGCCTGAGACGTTGTTTTCCAGATAGACCTGAGTAGGTTCTGCCCTAAAACATGCCTTTAAAATCCGTTTATGGCAGAGAGGTAGATGAAGGGCATTATAAGGCAAAGTAGTACTTGAAGAATATTTTCTGATTTACCATTGTTTACTGTAATCAACATTAATTATGAAAACTCAGAAGACATATGCAGTTTGACTGCTCATTTTGGATTATAAATAAAGTGGCTATATTTAGCAGATATCATGACTCCAGGTTCCGGTCACTACCACTATAAAGAAATCCAAATTGGTAAGTGAAGCCTTTCACATCAGACCTCTCTGAACGACTGACCAAAAGTTATGCTTAAATTTTGAAAAATCTGTGCAGTTCTTCTTTAATGCTCAATGACCCTGTTTTTGTCACGCTCTTAAAAGGTAATTCCACCAATTCTTCAATTTGTTTTCCATATTTCAGTTGTTGAGATGTGCACTAGAGTAATTTAGAGTGGATTAATATGAAATGGTGCATTGTAGAGAAGCCAGTTCCTTTACAGTGGTGTTGATAGGAACCAGGGGTTGTGATGTCTACAACACAAAAATAACCATTTTATTTGCTATCCAAAATGACCAGTGAACATACACCCGAGTTATTGTCTGTTATGTTAATGATGGTAAAATAGTGGTAAATCCCAAAAGATAACATCTATTTTTGGTAACGTCAAGTCCCCTAACATCGGCCATCCCCCAATATTGGCTGCTTCCACGTAATACACAAAACGTGGAAGCAGCCGAGATTGGGGGACAGCCGATGTAAGGGGACATGATGCTACTCTTTTGCCTTATAACACCCTGCATACACCTCTCTGCCATGAATGGTTTTCTAAAATAATGTATTCTAAGCCCAAACCTAAAATCAAAACTATTTTCTGTAATGACTTTTTGAGAGGTATCTTTAGGAGGCATTAAATGCTTTGATGTCTGGTTCCCATCACTACCGCTGTGTCTTGATGAGTTGCTTTACAGCACAGCATTTCACATCAATCCACTCTGAATGACTATGTTTACATCCCATCGATTGAAAATTTGAAAAAATGGTGGAATTTCCCTTTAAGGAATTACCTTAACCTTATTGATGTGTAATGCGTATGTTGATGTTAACGTGTGTGCTTGCGCCTTCCTGCAGACACAGTCAGCGATCAAAAAGTGTACAAATGTGACGTATGTGACTATACCAGCTCCACCTACGTTGGGGTGCGGAACCATCGCAGGATTCACAATTCTGACAAGCCCTACAGGTTTGTGTTCTCATTTCATCTTATATTCCATAATCCTAGCAGCAGCTAATCTGTATGTATAAGAGTGATCAGGATATTGGTTATGACTTCTTCAGTATAGCAGAAAAAGTGAAGTATTCACAGAGAATCATTGCTAATAAACATCACATCCTTTAGTTATTTATACTGATGCAGTGATGCAGGTTTGTAAATGTCATAACAGTTTTCAACCACAAGAGGGCAGTAAAGCCTAAAGTTAAACTACTACTGCTGCGCTCGTTCACTCACTACAAGAGAAATAGGGCTTGTGCTATATGTACAAACACAATATGAGGTTAGGTGTGGGTCCAAAGGGTCTTGTTTTCTCACGCACACACTCAAATATACCCCAGATCTCGTTCTCTGACTCTCTACGGGGCTTCTTTGTGCGTGTGGAGACATCTCTCAGCTGTTCTGCTCCGCTAACCCACGCCTACTTCAAACAGCCCCTCAGAGATGCGAGACTCTTTCAACTAACACGCGCCTGCCGGCCGCACTTTGTGCTCGGCCTCCGCGCAAATGGCCTCTTACAGGACTTCAGACGCACGCCTGCGGGCACTCGTGCGCATCACATCCAGCCTCGCAAATTAGCGCCCAAACAAACAAGCCCACTTGTTCTGCCCGACAGTCACCCAAATAGAGATTTATCCACGCTATGAGGAGTCGGGCACCTCAGGAAAAGGCCTTGTTTGTGCTGTCAGTTTCGTGGCTTTGTAAGGGATTTTTTCACTGTATCTTCAGTGATCAGTGTTGGCTTGATTGTTGCTAAAAATTAATTTCTGATACAAACATCGTTAAGACCAATAGGGATGTGCATTCTCTCTAATTCAAGTATGTGTAGAAGTTCATGAGTGGATTAAAGGTGCAGTGTGTAAGATGTGGGGGGATCTATTAGCAGAAATGGACTATAGTATAGAAAACCATGTTGTCATTAGTGTGTAATCATCTGTAACTACGAATCATTGTTTTCGTTTGCTTAGAATGAGCCCTTCATTTCTACATAGGGAGCGGGTCGTCTTCCAACAGAGGCCACCATGTTGTTTGTACAGTAGCCCAGAACGGACACGCCAAACACCGACTCTAGAGAGCACCTTTTGCGTTTTTTAGGTTGAAGCGGCAGCTTGAATTTGGTGGTACTGTAGCACTGGGTGAACGATGTAGAAAGAAGAATAAGTGATGCTGCTGGTGCTGAGTGACCATTTTGTTTTGTAAGAAGTTTGAGAACCACAATTTGGACGACTGGAGGACCATACTTATTATTTAGCACAAGAAAAAGCAAAGGAGGGTGAATCCTCATCATTAAAGAAGCAAAAGCATGAAGAAGCAAAACCAAATCAAGACAGGCGATGGCAGGAAACAAGGATAAACACTAGTGTGGCCTTTACCAGATAGAATTTGCTGATAAAGGGCTAATATTTTCAGTCACATTGAAGTTGCCTGTTTTTTTCTGGACAGATAATTTAGTGTACCAATCCAAATGCAGAGCACCTGACAGCCAGAGAGGGAGGGGCATTCAGTTCACTCACTGCTAGATGGCACTAAATTTTGCACACTGCACCTTTAACTGTGAAGAAGGAAGAAAAAAGGAAAGAAAAAAACACATTTCAGCTGAAATTAAAGGGCCCATAACCTACATTGTGTGTGTGTGTGTGTAGAGTGTATTTTTCCTCTCAAGGTCCACTTATGATGAGGTGGTTTTGTAATTCATTTTTATGTGACCATTTTCCAACCTCTTTAACTAAAATTCATTAAGGTCCAGTTCGAGAAAATTTCCTCAAGCAAAGGTCTGGAACATCATAATGTCTGACTTACATCACGATTCAGTGCCATATACTGCATACTGAAGTAGCCTAATAGGTATATCAACATTTAGAGCACGCCATGTAAAATAATCTGGCTCACTTTGTTCTCCGACTGCTGTGTCTCGCCTCATCCCTCCCCTGTGTGTGCGTCACTCACTCGAGTCACAGTGCTCACAGAGAACTTGTACAGATAAATAGGCCGTAAAAAATAAACCTCATAAACCAACCCTGGTGCTCATCGTAATGCACAGATTTAATGGGCTGAGTAGCGTCACGTGTGATATTTACAACACATGCGATTGGTCTGTGAGTTTCCCAGGCCGCTAAAGCCGTACCGTAAACGCTAGAAAAGTTAAAATAGGACCACCCTGTTGAAATTAAATAATTCTCCATAGTTTATCGGTAATAGGTCCAGGTCTGCTTAGGACAGCGTCTGGGTCTGGACTCGGACCGCAGTCCGCCTATTAGTGACCTCTGCCTTAGAATAAAAAAAAGGATGTGAGAATTTAGAACTTAAACTTAGAATTTCAAATCCGGATGTTGAGGAGAGTCCTTGTGTTCTGCAGGAGTTTTTGTCTCTTCGGTGGACCATGTGCCGGCATGTTAGTTTGTCAGGGAAATATATTTTTTTCTGTTTGGCAATAAAAGCCGCACTATCTCTGCCTTCTCAGTCACGTCCTTAACAGCACATCCTTGGAAATGTACCCATGTGCCAACACAACACACTTACTCACACATATGAGCAGTTCTTTCACGTTTGACAGTTCTGGTAAAACACAAAACTGGCATTTCAGGGAAATGTTGGTCTCTAGATTTTCTCAGTCTTCCTGTGATGAAACACAACAAATATCTGAATCGTGATTTCAGCATTCGAATACTGGCACCTCAAATGGTTAACCGAGTAGTCGAGTGTCAGTTCGCATCTCTCAACACCAAACGCTCAGAGATGTATTAACGAATAGCCATTTAATGGTGAACCAAAAGATAAACAACTGTTCAATTGATGACTTCATTAAAAAAAAAACGCTAATTTAATTTTCAGTAATCCAGTGCTGGACGCTCACAACAAACACCTTTGCTGCACCAATGAAGAGGTAGTCTGCAAAAGCGAAACTGTGCAGAATAATAACCGTGGCAGAGAGCGGGGGTGTGGCTTCTAGTGCAGAAATCACACATGAACAACAGGGAGATGAAGCCTCCAAGAAAAATGATGTTACTTCTTGGAGAACACTGCTTGTCTTAAGTTGATAACTCTGAAACAGAGATAAACAGCTATTTTAATGATACTCCTCCAGCACTGAACATAAATCCTCAGCTGTGGAAAGTAAATGGCACTTGATACCCAAGGCTGGCACCTTTGACAGTACTTGTGTGTACACGGCACGTCTGTATTCTTAGCATCTAGTCTGACTATCAACAGACTGCATAGTGGATTGACCATAGCGCAGTCAGATATGTTGAAAACAAGGGTAAACACTAGTGTGGCCTTTACCAGATGGAATTCGCTGATAAAGGACTAATATTTTCAGTCACATTGAAGTTGCCTGTTTTCTGCTGGACAGATAATTTAGTGTACCAATCCAAATGCAGTGCATCTGACAGCCACTCTAGGTTCTAATACACACCTGGAGAGGGAGGGGCATTCAGTTCACTCACTGCTAGATGCCACTGTGGAAAGTAAACAGCACTCGATGCCCGAGGCTAGCACCTTTGGCCAGACAGTACTTGTATGTACCCGGCATGTCTGTATTCTTAGCATCTGGTCTGACTATCAGCAGACTGCATAGTGGATTGACCATTGCGCAGTCAGATATGTTGGTATTTCTCAACTAAAATGATATTTAGCTACATGACACAATACTAAGGTAGGCTACCTCTGTTATTTTCAGCTTTGTGTTGCTCCTCTCTGGCATAGCTTTAAGCTGCCTATAGGCAGTGGGGAACTATCAGGGCCTTCTAGACCTTCCAAGAAAGCCTAATGACTTCTGCGAAGGAAAAGAAAAATACATGTCTGTAATTTTTCGTTCATTTTTATTTAATACAGTCTTCATTTCTTGTGTTGAAACCATGTAATTATCATAGAACTACTCCTATTGCAAGTTTTGTTAAGCTTTTAGGGGGGAAAAAAAGGTATAATTCAGGATAAGTCAGGATTTTTTTTCTCTGTACTATCTTGGAAGATACAGCCAAGCTAGCTCTCCCATTGGTTAGGACTTCAGAAGCTGAACTGAAGGCCTAATGTGTCAGATTATCCACTGACATAATTTGAAACTGACTGTAGAATCAACCAGTCGCATTTTGATTTACTATGGCTGGGACCATTTTTTTATGGGAAAAATATCAAAAACATATGCTAAAAAATATATGCTATATTAGTCAATCTTCAAATAAAGCATGGGTGTCTTTTACAAGCTTCAGATATGGGTTTGATTAAGAGCTGCCTCTGCTCCAGAAATGTGTCTGTGCTTAATCAAGAACTGCCATAAAAATGTTAATGTGAATCACTGTTAGCTTTGTGCTACTAGAATCCCATGAGGATTCTGAAAGATGTGCTAGTATCGTCAGGCCATTTATGTTCATTTTAGCTTGGGCTAACAATAACTGGTAAAAGTAAATAGACTACGTTACTGCTATATTTGTGGAGGCTGACTTGTTTAATGTTACTAGGATGTCCATTAATGTTATATTACAGTTTTCAGTAAAGCCTAAAGACATTTTACATAAAACACAGTGATTTCTTTGTGTTTGGATGTGTCTTTGAGTTTAGGTCGGTTGGTTACCAAATAATAGCCAACTAATGCCAGTTGATTATCGGTCAGAAGAATTTGCCAGAATTCACGGGCTGTTTTACAGTTTATGAAACTCAAAGGACTGTGGGTATAATCAAAAAAGGTTGACAAAATGAAGTTACAGTTTTGAAATTGAAAAAAAACTTTTATTTACTTTTATTCATTCAGAGCACTTTTTTACCTCCGTTCTTTCATGGAAAAAAGCTTCAGCAATCGTCTACATTTCAGATATGAGTGTTATGTTTTGTGTTAAACACAAGTCAGTTATTATGATACTAAAATCTCACTATCATCTCATCACTCTTCGTGGTCCAGGTGCTGCAGCTGTGACTTTGCCACTACAAACATGAACAGCCTGAAGAGCCACATGAAGCGGCACCCGCAAGAGCACCAGGCCGTGCAGCTGCTGGAACAGTACAGGTGAGGAAGGCAGCACCAAGGCTGTTGGGAGAAGCCCATTGTTTTTAAACGATTAGCAGGTGGAAACATTGTTTTGCGGCCAAGTGAACAACTCAGGAAGGCAACTTAATTAGTGCTAAGTGTCTTCACTTCTAGTCCTGCAAGGCTACGAAACTGTATAGCTCATTGTTTGAACTATACAGCTATAACTGCTTTAACACAACTGATTTAGATTCTCCAGGACTTAATAATTGGCAAATGAGTCAAACTGGTGTGTTTGAGCAGAGAGAATGCTAAATAATATTTTATTTATTCATTTATTTTATTTTATTTTGGAAAACGCTGACACCACAGTGTCAAGTTGTGCTTGGTTAGTGCTTGACTTTACTTCATTTAGTTTAGTCAGTTCACATCTCCCCCCCTTTTTGCATGCAGTCACTCCCTTGCTGCAACTTTGTGCTCCATATTTTGTGCTATACATACACTCAATGTTTTTCTCAAGGTGTTTGACAGCTAATTTTGTGTGGAAGAAGAGATTTTCCAAAACACGTTTGGTGTGGACGAGGATGTCTTTTGAACCAAAGCATGAAGAACATGCGTTTTTAGAAATACCCTGATAAATGTGGACAAGGCCTTCGAAGTAAAAAACAAGTGTTTTCTTTCCTTCTTGTGTGGCCCACCCAGGTGCTCTCTGTGTGGCTACGTGTGCAGTCATCCTCCATCCCTCAAGTCCCACATGTGGAAGCACGCTGGAGATCAGAACTACAACTATGAACAAGTGAACAAGGCCATCAACGAGGCCATCTCCCAGAGCAGCCGGTAAGAGCACCTCCTACTTTACCTCAAACACTCACAGCTGTGATGGCATCCTCCTCTATTCATTGAATGCAGCTGAGCACCTAGAAATGGGTGATAAAGTAACTTAACCCTTAGAAGTCCAGAGGTTATTTATGTCATTTTGCTTGGTTTATATTACATAATTATGTAAACATAATTACGTTTTGTTTTTTAATGTCATGAATTATGTTTACATTTGATTTACAATCTGTATCGTCAGGTTCGAGCATGATGGTTTTTCTTTCTGCAAAACAAAAACAACTAAAACGTATGTAGTTTTATTCAAAGTGACATTTGTCAGTCATTGAAACTCCCTCCCCAAAGTAAAGCATCCTGGTGATTAGTGCTGCACAATAAATCGTATTTTTAACATTACTGCGATATGAGTATCCGTCATAAACACATTGTGAAGGGTTTTTAAGGGTGATAAGGGTCAATTACAGAACTATTAAATTACCACACACAAGCAGCGCCAAAGTGACGTAATTAGATTGGGGAAATGTAGCGTTAGAGACCCAACAAATGTGCCCCTCCTCACCCACATAAGGAACAAGAAACTTAACCACATGGCTAAACAGCCAATTATAAAACACCCACGTGCACAGCTCAAAAACTACTCTATCCTAAACTACTAGCCTGTAAACATGCTTAAAACATGATGACTGTTCTTACTGTCGGTGTTTTGTGTAAAACGTATTGCCTGTTTGGTAAAACGTAAGATACAGTATTGGTCACTGTCATGTCATCATGAGAAAAAACCTATTTATCCGTGTTTGTAACCTCACTGCAAAGACGAATGAACTGAAGCACCCCATGGACCTCATTCATGATTCTCAGGCTACAAATTCTCTACAAGAGGGCACCATTAGCAGTCAGAGAGCTTTTGAAGGTTCTTTCTGAGTGCTTTGCATCAGAGATGCTGTGTTTCCTTGTTCAGCCTTAAAGTGAACAAAAATGAGCTTACAGTTCTGATGTAAACAGCTAATAGTGTTTCATCATTTTAATTTTGCACAATAGCGAATGGTGCTTTTGTAATTTTGTGGAGTTGTTTTTTTTTTTCTTTTTTTTTCTTTTTTACATGGTTTGCTTGCAGTAGAAATTAGCTTTTTGTTTCCACAGCAAAAAAAAGGTCAGTGCTTGTGGCACATCCCGTTAAAGGCACATTATTTTAATAATAACCTTGTGCTTCTCATATCGTCATGGTGATATCTAAAACCTTATTCGAACATCGCATCTTATGTCCATATCATGCAGCCCTACTGGTGAAGTGCTTTGCTTTTATCTACATTCCTATTAATATTTTAAACATTTGTTCATGACACTCAGACCTTGCTCTCTGAAATGGTTCTGTTCTTGTATGCCTCTCTCCTCTCTCTCCTGGCCAGGTCTCCGATTGTGCCTCCTAACGTTATCCTGGGCAGGAAGGAGAAGACGCCACACAGTTTACCTGCTGCTGCAGCAAGTACTCTTGGAGATGGCTGGAGAGCCAGCCCTGGGGAACAGGCCCTGGGCGCTGCCGGGCGGAAGGGGGGCATGGGGCAGGTGCGCGCAGGTATGGAGTACTGCATGCTGCTCTTCTGCTGCTGCATCTGCGGCTTTGAATCCACCAGCAAAGAGCAACTGATGGAGCACATGAAGGAGCATGAGGGAGACATCATCAGTATCATACTGAGCAAGGAACAGCAGGGAAGCCAGCCAGCAGAGGCTAGCACAGTGCAGTGAGAGAAAGGAGTGCACAATCACGTACATGTTCACTCCCAATCTCTTAAAGTTAGAGCCAGTAACTTTTTGCACAAGTCTTCGTTTTGTTTTTTGGCCTGTGTGTACACACACACCACAATATTTGCTTCAACAGGTGACATGCACAGCTATGAAAAGATTCACTATCCCATTATTATTATTATTATTATTTTTTTTTTATAAACCTTTATTTCTTTTCTTTTTTCTTTTTTTTTTAAGCTTTATTCAGTTATTTTCCTAGTACAGAGGTTTAATTTCCTTTAGTTTGCTGGCATAAACTTTTAATTCAGGAAGATCCAAAAGCTTATCCAGAAGATTGTCAGACTGAATTTAAAAAAATTCAGCGGAGGAGACGTTCAGTCACGTAGTGAAACATGTATTTGGGTATTTCTGAAAGGCGTTTCATACCTCATCAAGTCAAACTTGTTATACATAGTATATATAAGGTAAGATTTAGGGTTAATCATACACAGGGCAGCTTCTAATTCACTGAATTGTTATTATTATTATTATTATTATTATTATTATTTATCAATATATTGTTTATATGCTACCTTGCTGGGTAGTTGTCTTCACGGAAAGGTTTGAAGAGAGAAGGCAGGTTTGCATTTTTGCCTTCTTGTTTGTGTCGTTGTATGTGTTGATATTTATCACGCTTATTTATATGGTTTTTTGCATGTACCCTTCCGTTATGTTGATGCAAAGGAGGCAGTTTCTCTCAGATGCCGTTCTTTGGTGCTACTGACCCTTTCTTTAGCTCAGCTGGGACTGAAGGAAGGGTCGTTTTGGGAATGTATCTTAAACCTATAGATAAGCCAGTAGAAAGTGTAGTGTATGTTTATCCGCTACAGTTGAAAAGCACAAGATAAATTCTAAAACATTCTAATGGTAACTGGTCCAATAATCAGGTAGTAAAAAACTGAAGATTCATCATTCAAGATCTGTTACTGCAACATAAGCCAATGTGCCGTCATACAGCAGCCGTGAGGGGTTACCACTATAACATTAAAGGGGAAGTTCAATACAAAATGTTTTGAGTGTTTCTGACATCTCTTCAGATGGTCCTGTCTGATCTGGCTTGTATTGTAAATGTACATGTTCCATTCACTTCCAGTTCATTTAAAAACCTTGTTGCGATTCTGAAAACATACTAGCGCATAGGTTCTGTAACTCTCTGCTGTTGATAATGTTGATAACCCCTAAACTTTCTAGATTGTCTGTTAACATTAGTGATGCAGAATAACATCAGAATCATATTAATACAAATAATTGCTTTAAAAAATGATCAGTAGTACCAGAGTACCACAAACATTTTGTCAAACATCAGTTATGAAGTAGTGCCCAAATCTAAATGTTTGTCCAAAATTTCAAACCAATATTTGACATTTATTGTGCTCCGGAAGAATGTTCAGGCGATGCTGGGCTACGAGGCTAAAATGACTGCATTTTATTCATTTTTCTGCATTTGTAACCCTCTACAAAGATTTCTCATTTCTCCATAATGGTAATCCAAATGAACTTAGTCCCAATTTCTAGATTTCTATTTCTATTTTGTAAATGTTTATATATATATGTCAACATAGATATCAGCAGAAAAATGCTGCATGTTATTAAGACTCATGTAGGTTCTCTGAAAGGATGATGTATCCAGTTTTCAGGATTTTAATATATCTTTGAAAACAGTATAAAATGCAAGCAGTAAATAGAAGCGGTATTTCAGTGAAAAAGCTCTTTGCTAGCTATCTTAACAGCCCAGCTGTAAACACAACCTTGTCCTTTCATTGTTTCGGCCTGACATTCAGCAGTTGTTCCCACATTGCTGTGGCTTAGTAAATATGGCTCAAGCATTTATAGTACGAGCAAAATGGCTGTGCAAAGTCAAAAAGAACTGTGTTGAGAGGTAAAAGGACCATTTGCTATTTTTTGTAAACTTCTCCTTTAATTGCTATTGTGAGTTTAGTAATGTAATATAAGCTGAATTTCAGTATTTCCGTTTCTTTGGTAAGATACTATTGTCTTACTAGTTTTGATTTCTGTTTAAGCTCGTTTGAAATCTGTTTCAATGCAACGTCCTCGCTTTTTAGTCCAGTTTCGTTTACGTTTAGTAAACGTTTGCTAGAATTGCAAAAAATGCATCACAAGTAATTATTTATATTGATAAAATTATCGCTGTATAGTTGCTCTACCATTGAAATGTTGATGGCTACCTCCAGTCAAAATGTTCCCAAATTCTGTTGACCTTAACTTTAGTATGTGTTCTACATTTCTGCTTCCAATGCAGGACATTTACCAAGGGATGATTTGCATGCTCTTACCGCTGTGTCAGTTAGAAATGCAAAATTATGAGGATAAAATGAAATCCATTATTCATGGGTCTTGAGATTGCGTTCATGCGGCACCATGTATCACGGAAGGTAAATCTTTATTTTCTACCAAGGAATATCTCATTAGCATACCAGATTGTTATTGTCTTGGCCTGATTTACAATTTAAACTGCAGTGTCAGGAACTTGGTGACATGGTATGAATTTGAAACGTGAAATCATTTTACTCCAGTGTGCATTTTAACTGGAATATCCAGAGGCATTTGTCACATTTGGAATTGCCTTTTCCACTTTTATCAAATATTTTGACACCCAGACGTCCAATCAAATTATTTTTTTTCTGTAGACGCAGTCAGATGTGAGTAGTTTTTGAATGTGTTCTAAATGCATATTATATGGACTGCAAAACAGCAATGTTTGCAGCATATGGCTTTTATATACAGTACTGTGTAAAAGTCAGGAAGTCAGAGACCATTGTGTATTTAATTTACAGTCAAAACGGCCAAGTTGTTTATCTTTCAGTGTCAGGACTTGCACAGAATATATATGAACATGGTATTTCATATTTTCACACATTTTTGCAGCTTCCATTTTTTTTGGGGAGACTTGCTTTCAGTCTTTCCAGAGAAATCTGCAGGGATATTTTTCCACACCTCCAAAGTTCAGTCTTAGATGTTGGTTGCATTTTTTGCTTCTTATGTTCTAGGTAATTCCAAACACATTCAATGATGTTGAGGTCTGGACACCAGAGTGGTCAGTCCATTGTTTTGAAAACACCAGCAGCTTCTTTGTTTGATCTGTAAATTTTCTTCTTTTTTGACTGTTTTCTTTTTCTCAGTAAGGGCTTCTTGACAGCTACAAATCCTTTTAGACCCATAGCGCTGAGCTGTCTTCTCACAGTGGAAGGATGGACAGAAACACCTGTAGATTTTTTCAGATTTGAAGCAAGAGTAGAGCTTGATTTTCTCCTCAAAGATGAAAGCTTTAAGTACTGTGATCTACCAGGTCCTGCATGGTTGTTAGTCCCCTTTTCCCTGTATCTTCTCATTATTGGAAACTTAATTTATAGATTCTTATTTTATCTAATACCTTCAGGAATATCTCCTGAAAATGAACAACCTGAAGCTGCTTTGACTAGAAATGGATGGAGGGTGGTCTTTGCACAGTACTGTAGACTGTTGGAGAGAAAAAAAAAAAAAAACTTGCTATCCAGCTCCTTTTGTATAATTTTGGAGGATAAAAATTAGGCTTATCCTCCTTATCCTTCTACTTAATTTCAAGTCGGGTTAATTAAAAATCAACTAGGTTTCCAGGGAAAAGACTGGATCACTTCTAAATCTTGCACACATGCTAAATTACCATGCACTAGGAATCTGACTGCTTTTGAGATTGAAATTTGCAACAATCTAAATACAAAAGTAGTGCAGTAATCCCCCTCACCGTTCAGACACCCAGCCGTATTATGGAATAGTGCTTATCCAGTTGTATAAGTGAGCCCTTTTTCTCTGAAACCTCATAAGAGTTCATAAGAGATGAAGGAGGATGAGAGCTCAGCCTGTTATGTGCCTTCCATTTTTATGCCTCGTAGTTTTCAATTGCATTTAGAGTAAAGATTCAATGTTAAAGTTGACTGTTGCCCTGTAACTGGTTGACTGGGTTGTTTTGCGATAGGCCTTGACTTTATGATGTTCTCTCACATGTTCCGTAATGTACTGACACATGGTACTGTAGTATGGCTTTGTACATCACTGGCTGTGTATATACTGTAGAATTTTGAACTGACACTTTTTTAAGAATTTCTATTTTTTAAGACGACTTGTAAAACACTACAGAAAAAAGTCAGAAAAAAAAAAGTATTGTCTAGCCAAAGTATCAAAAATGTGGGGTTCCTCTTCGGCTGTTATTGTATAAATAAGGGAACGGTTAGAATAAAAAGCTCGTCATGCTGCCAAAGGAGGGAAGGAACTCTAGACTTTTACATGGTTAACGCCTTTCAGTACTATTTTCTTCACGTTGTAGTGGTCCACCCGGCCATATTTCGAAGTTAGTGTTCCGTTCAATTATTTATTTGCTCTTCATAGACTGTAAAATGTTATGACTTTGCCAGTGTATTTTTGGTAATAAAGACTGAACAATGACTTAACCTTTTGAAAGCGTCATCAATTAGAGCGGTCAGCAGAAACTGCAGGCATCAGAACTGGACAAGTGGGCAAAATCCATAGAGCTTAACTTTTCTATTTCACTTAAGAGCAAAAAGTTCAGCGTCTTCATTGTGCCATTTCCAGATGATCGACTTTTTCACAACAGTGAAGTCTGGCAGTGTCAGACTTGACTAAATGGAAGATGGTCCTTGTTCGGGCTCCCACTAACAAATCACATCATGGCACAAGTTGGGGATCTCTCCAAACTAATCCAGCTTGGATAATTGGCTGAATCGGGAAGAGCGCTACCCGGTCGGAACGAGTTTCTGCTGCACTGTTCTCACACTGGGACAGAATCCCTCTTCGGCTTGATGTAATTTATCATTTAAGAGAGCAATGTCTTGCCCGTTCTACACCCTCGGTCACAATCTATATCTGGCCCTGCAGCAAACTGATAAACAAAAAAGAAAGCAGCAGGGGATCAAATGGGCCTCTAACCCATGCCAAATCCTCACAGAGGTGTCCATCAAAAAAGATATAGATGCTCTACAAGAGATAGTCATCCTTAAAATCTACTCTTTTTTTTTTTTCTCGAAAATTGGATTAACTTCAGTACCTAGCATTAAGCCCTGGCCTGTCTGCTGGAGTGAATTTTGTCTCAGTTTTCAAACAAAAACTAGGCCGACTTATTATGCTCCAGTTCAAATACTGTTTAAACCCATTAAATGCCATTTTTGTACCATGTTGTAAAGGGATTGATTTTTTACCATAACTAACTTTCAATGGGATATCAAGCAGTGAACTGAATGAAAACCTAGTTTTGTATGTATCCAAATCTAGAATGAATGAAGTAGGTCTAATTTAACTCGAGTACAGTACTCTTATAGCCGTGGTCACTAATCCTCCTCCTGGAGATCTGCTATACTACAAAATTTAGTTGCAACCTGCATCTAGCGTGCTGCCCCTTCTTACCTAACACACAAATGCATCTGATCCAGCCAATCAAGGGCTTTGGAAGAAGTTAAATCAGCTTGAGCAGGTCCTGCGGATTGTGATTGGAACTCTCTGGAAGGTGGATCTCCAGGAGCAGGGTTGGTGTACTCTCTGTGCTACAGTGAAAATAGAGATACTCTTGGTGAAATTACTCAGAAAAGTAGCTCTCTTCTATTTAGATTTATACTTGAGTTAAAGTACAAAAAAATACTTTTCAAATTAATCATTAAAACTAGAAGCACAGTAATTCTAGCTATTATAGTGTTTTTTTTATTTGAAAAACTATTTTAACTGCCAACTCTGTTACATCAATTAACAGATGCCTGTGTTAGCTAGCATGACCAAGGACAGCTGTGGCATTACCAGAGGGTGAACTAGCAATTTCACTGCAAATGTGAAAACCACTTTAATGACTTTAATAAAGGGCCCATATCTCAGAAAACCAAGTTTTCCTCATGTTTGACGCTGTACGTACACTGTGAAAACCTATCAAAGTGTACTGTTAACTCCCCAGTCCAAAAAAGCTCCACAAACAGCCCATTTTGAATTGATTGTTTTTGTGATGTCATAAAAAAACAACACTTTTACATATATATCAGCCTGTAGAAATTTAGCCCTGCTCATTCACACTGAAGTTATAAGGAGTGTTTCAGCCCAGAGTTATTTATATAGAGGCACTATACAGAGCAGCCAAGCAGAACAGAGGTCAATATGTTTATCATTCTTAAAGGCACAGTAACAAAAACAGCCAGTTTTGGTTCTAAGGGATAAAGGGAGGCTGGAAACTACCCGTGTAAAAATGAATGACAACACAGTAAATAAAACCACACAAGTATAAGTGGAAATATGCAAAAGAAATAAGGCTAAATATCTTTTAATATGTTTTTATTTTTCAATATTTTAGAGTAACTCACTTCTGTTACTCTTGCATGCTACTGAATGCCAAGTCACATCACAATGGAAAAGAGCAGACATGCACAGTCCCAACCTGCACAGGCAACTGGATTGGACAGTCTGTATTTAGGGGAGGGGAAGCTTTTAATGAAAGCTTCACTGTGATTGGCTTGCTTCAAGTTGAAAGTGTAGCATGTTCTTTTGGATGTTTTAGAAATACTTCAGTGTAATGAGTAATAAGACATACAGAAAGTAGCAGAGTGAAAATGTGAATTTTAAGTAAAAATCTCAAGAAATAAAAATACTTTTAATAAAGTACAGATACTTGAAAAGAGTACCTAAGTACAGTAATGAAGTATATATACTTTGTTGCAGCCCACCATTGACTATAAAGGAAGCAGTCTAGTTATAGTTTAATGTAAATACATTGCCAACCTCTTAAACATGAAATCTCTTGATAAAATATTTTTCTCATTCTTTGACCCCATTTACACCTGGTCACTTCATGTGTATCTTGAGTATCAGGATTACATCTGGATATCTGGATTAGATCTGCAAGTGTAAACGCACCCAAGACGCATTTAAAACAAATACAAATCTGATCACTCAAACCACTTCAGGAGGTGGTCTGAGACGCTTTGAGCCACGTTATGGCAGTGTAAACACATCCATCTCTCCAAGACATATTCAACAGCCAAAACCCCTCCCAGTACAACCGAAACTCCTCCCCATGGTCTGGGTCTGTGATGAAGATGATAATGGAGGATTATAATAGCAATATGGACAGACACAATTGTGCAAACAAACTGCAGATGACTTAATAAACAGTTGGTAACGAGCAGATTTGAATATTCCGTCCCACACAGCAATCGGACTTCAGTGCGACTAATTGTAAATGCATGTGGCTGAAGTCTTATCAGGATACAATCCAGATAGTAGTCACAAGAAGTGACCCGGTGTAAACAGGGTCTATGTTTTTAAGGCACTGTTCATATGTAATCACACATTTCAAAACCCTCTACTACTTTACTGTATCACTCTGCGAAGCCTTATTTGGGTGTCTGCACCTGATCGCTGTGATGAAACAACGCATGCACGTAAAGGCCTTTGAGTGGAGGCTGTTTCAATTGCACTAGTTTCATGTCATCGCCACACGGCGTATTATTTCTCAGCGAATGAGCAAATTGAAATTTAAGGCAAATTAAAGTCACTAGCAGATATGACAGAAACTCTTCCCACAAGGATTTACCGTACTGTAAAATAGTGTAACCCAGTGCTGCTGCGACAGTGATAAGCCGGGGGTGGATTCCACTCCTCTTTGGCAAATAAGAATTTCCACCTCTCCATATAATCCCTTCATTTTACATGAAACCCTGACCGCCTCTAAGAAGTACAAAGCAGCACCATTCCACTGATGCACTAGTTTACAAGATCAGCCTTTTTCAAAAGCCCCTTGAAAGTGGAGATCAAGGGGAAATAGTGAAAAAGACTGGATAGAGGAAAAAAAAATACGGTGAATCACTTAGAATAGAGAAAGTGCACAAGCTGGAGTCAAGTGACTTTTAGCCTTTGGTTACCAGTTAATTCCAAATCCGCCAGTTCAGTTCTAAAGACCTTGGTTTGTGCTTAACTATATGAAAAGAGGAAAAAAAAAAAACTGTATTCCAAACGTTTTCTATTTTCTATCATGGCTTTAAGAAGCCCACTCTCGTTCCACTGTAACAGATGGAAGCTTAGCTTCAGCAGGCCGTGGCCCTATGCCTCAAATCTCTTCCTCAACCAAACTTTGCAAGAAAGAAGGAAAGAAAGAGACGGGTATGAAGAGAATGGCCGCAACCTACTTTCTCCTCTGGGCTTATCGAGAACTAAAGCCAGACAAATAAGTGCCTTCCAAGAAAGAAAGTGGAAAAAAAAAAGAAATAAAAAAAGAGAAACAGCCATTAAACATTTACGCTTTTCTTCCTCCATAATCCCTCACTCCAATGAGCTGCCTGCCAATTTATTCTCTTAAATCTCTTTGATAATCTTCAACCCTTTCATGTCAGATGCTGTATTTTTTTTTTTTCTCCCAACCATCCGGATGCCCAGAGTTTTCTCGTTTTTTTTTCCAGTGTCGAATGTCGAAAATATATTCAATGAGGTCTCACAATGGCACATATGCATATGTTATAGAAGCTCTTTGGGCATTTCATGAATTCCATTTTTTAGTGCGATCCAACACGCTTCAATCTTTAAAATGATTGAGACTTACATGACGAACACAAGAAATCATATCTGTCAGGCTTTTTTTTTCTTTTTTATTGGCCAGCGGGACTTTAAGCTAAGTTTGATGTGATCTCCATGCCACATGCGCTTTCAGATCGGGGTTGGAGCTTGTGAGATATTAAAGAAACAATGCACGCTCGGCTGTTAAGGGAATCCTACACGGGCAGTCTGAACGCGTGCAGTTGAGTTATACGGAGTGAAAAGAATAAAAGAGAAGTTTGTGTAGGCTGATGCCTAATAAATGGTCATGAACTAAAAGAGTCTTCTTCTCATGATGCTTGTAAGTGCATTACTTGCCACCTTATGCTTGTTAAAGTGAAAATCATGCGTGTGCATCATTTATCACGCCAGCAGAGATTGGCAGGCTGGGTCAGTGCAACAGACGGATGCCTTCCTGCCACATTAAAGGTCCTCCCATCATGGGCACGATGGTCAGAAGACTGAAAAACAAAACAGTTAGGGGAGACACATGAAAATCTTGATCAACAACAACATGGCCATGAAAATGATGGTGAGGCTAATGGGATATGAACTGAGGTAAGATCTACACAGAGCTTTGATATGTATCAAGTACTGCAGTTGTTCTGGAGTTTGTCTTTGTCATCAAAACCTGTATTCTATTTGTTTATTTGCACCATTATATTTCTCTGCATGATTGGATATTCATATTACAAAGCCCAGAAAGAGGTCATGAATCCACAGAGCAGTTTGTGCTTCATGATTATTTCTTCATGCATGATGATATCCAGAATAAGGCTGCCACTTACAGTCTAATGCAACTTATTTTGTTTATAAATGAATGTCTTTTACAGAGGACAAACTTAAATATGGCATTTTTCTGCAGATTTTAGTGCACAATTTCTGTTTCTCTCTTTTTTAGGGGTCCAAGCACCATAAGAACATCCACCTGGTCGTGGGTTCAAATCCCCGTCATGGACGTTGAACGGAGCTGTATAAATTGTGGTGGACGTATCATCTAGCGACCTTAATCATAATAAAAGGAGATCTTTCTTAAAAATCTTTCGCATAACTTTTGCATATGATATTTACAATGGCTCTTCAAGGGTTCTTTAGTAAAGAAAATGGTTATATATAGAACCATGAACACAAACCATTTGCATGATTAAAGTGTTCTTTGTATCATTAAAAGGTTCTTCTTCAAACTGATGTTCAATGTGCTGTATACGGTAAACGGTTTTGTATAGCATCAAAAGGGTTCTTCTGTTGTTAAAATATCAAGATTGTAACAATAGAAGAACCCATTTTGGTGCTATGTAGAACCCTTTTGAAAAATATTCTATATAGAACCATCTACAGCATGATCTCCATCAATCTGAAGAACCATTTTATGATGCAAAGAACCCTTTAATCATGCAAATATATAGAACCATTTTCTTTACCAAAGAACCCTTAAAGAACCATCTTTTTTAAGAATGTATAGCAAGCAGGCACAACAAATTTGATGAGGCATCTTAAAAGTGTAAGTACAGTATGTATGTAAAAGATAATTAATAAACAAATAAAAAAATAATAATTTTATTTCATTTCTAAAAACAACATTTCTTATTTGAATAGGTGGATGTGTCAGTCAAGTTGAGGATAGTTTTTGAATTGTATGGATGAATTGTATGGATCGATGAATGACTACTAGTCGGCTAGTTTAATGATGATTACGCATATATTAAATTCTCCTACCGGTCTCAAAGTAATATACACTGATTTATGTTCATTTTATGCCACAAAGTGTATATTTTACATACATATCTGCACCAATACTGGCGCTGAATAAAAACATACCATGTAGCGATTTCTGATGTGCATGCACACTGCTGACTCGTGCTTGTATGCCAGTATATGGAGATGAGCTTTTAAACTTTTTATAGCTCTGAATCCATTCAAATGTGAAGTTATCCAACCATCAAATGCCATTCATTGAAGCTTAGTATGTTTTACTTGTGACACAGAACACTGCTTTTACCAAAACAACTTATTTTAAAAATGGGAATGGTATAAAAATCAGGATATATAGGCACCTATCAGTTAGGTTATACATTCTCTTAAAAAAAGATGGCTCTTCAAGGGTTCTTTAGTAAAGACAATGTTATACAGACAACTGTATAGAACCATGAACACTCAAAGAACCATTTGTGTGCTTAAATGGTTCTCTGCATGGTGAAATGTTCTTCAGATGGATGGAGAATGTGTTATATATGGTTCTATATAGCACCAAAGAGGGTTCTTCTATTGTTATAAGCCTGACATCGTAACAATAGCAGAACCCTTTTTAGTGCTATATAGAACACTTTTCCAAAAGCTTCTATATAGAACCATATATAACACATTCTCCATCAACTCATGCAAAGAACCATTTACTTGTTTAAATGGTTCTTTGCATGAGTTGATGGAGAATGTGTTATATATGGTTCTATATAGAAGCTTTTGGAAAAGTGTTCTATATAGCACTAAAAAGGCACTTTGAGTGTTCTTTGTTCTATGTAGAACCACTGTCTTTACGAAAGAACCCTTGAAGAACCTTTTCAAGAGAGTAGATTTAATATCTGTTTCAGTATCAGTACTTAAAGGTTTCCTTGTTTTCTTTGTCCAATAAAGTATTTAGGAATTTTTGAAAGACTACATGGTTTGTGATTGTTCTGTTAGGTCCAGTTTCATTGTTTGGCCTTTTTTTAAAAAACTGTAATTACTTGGTTAATATCAAAATATCAGCAGATTACTTGATTACTAATATAACCAATAGTGACAGATCTAGCCCAGAACTGTATTAATTTCAGTTTCTAAACAGTTAAAGGTTAGAGCAGCACACTGAGAGCACCTCAGGGCCAGGGTTAAAGAAATAATCTCTTATTCCGATAACACCAGCGCTAAAGCTCTGGGCACTCACCCTGGCGAGCAGATAGTCAATCTCTGTAGTGTCTCTGTAAGGACTCAGGCTGTTCCACACAAAAGGATGATACGCTTTCCTGCACAAACACATCCACAGTCTGTTTGGAGCTGAAGATCAGGTAGTGGCTGTGCGTGTAGCACTGAGAGAGATAAGAATCCAAAGAAACACTGTGCACTATTTTAAGCTTACGCTTCCAGGCACTGTGCTATTGGGAGGGGAGAAGGAACTTTTCCTGTTCATCTCACATCATCTGTCATGTAAGTAACATCTATTCTTCTAATTCTTGAATTTGAAGACAAGCACACCCATACTGAGCTCATGACTGCTGTAGCCACCAGTGCAGTACTCTTTATCATCTACATTTTATTAGAAATACAGATAAATAATGCGTTTGAGGGGGTTTATGAGTGTTAAGTAACAATTAATAAAGCAAAAAGCCACTAGAAGCAGGGTGTTAAAGTGATTTTACCATGGTTAAGTGGTAGTAAAAGCAGAGAAAAACACTGTAGCACTAGCTTTTGAATTATTGCTTTTTTTTTTTAAATAGTCTATATCAATGTTCAAAAGTTTTTTTTTATAAATAATAATCACAATAAACAATTCCACCACAAATCAATTCAGATCACTGACAGTAGACTATAGTTGCAAAGCAACATAACGATCCCAGATTATTATAATAGTTTTACTGACTTGATGCATTAATATAGAATTGAACTAATTTGTGCAGTGATACAGTGAATGCCTTTCAAAATAAAATAAGTCATAGAAGAACCACTTTTGGTGCCATAAAGAACCTTTTTTTGTATAAAAGATGTGTAAAAATACCTCTTAAAGCTCGAAAACCTCCACATAACATAAACATTCTTTCCCAAAAAATGCAGTTTTGTTGGTTTTACTCCATTGGCGGAGCCTTATTTTAGCCACACACCTGCATTTTAGAGCAGGAAGTGAGACTGCATCCCTGTCCCTCATGGCCACATGGGGAGCAGTTAGATCCCATTGGGCCTCATTTACCAACAATTCTTAAGAAGAAATTTCTTAAAACACACAGTTTTCATGAAGATTCTGAGGTTCACCAATGTTTTCTTATTCAGGAGTTGTTCTTAGGTACGAACAGAATCTACACACACACAAGTCACAAGGTGTGAACAGTTCTGTGGTTTAAGAACACGTCATGAAGCTGATGCAGACTTTTTCTTAAGACCTTTCTCTAAAACAGGTTCAAGATAAAAACTTTGTTTTGAAGTAAATGTGTCCCAAAGTAAGAAAATCCGTGTGTAACATTAAGAATTATCAATACTGAAAAATGTTTTCTGCAATTAAGTCAACTTTTTGTGTTTTGATAAAAAAAATATTATAATTTTATATGTTTACAAGTGTTCAAAGCTGTGTATGCCAGTCATGTACTGGTTAGCGTTTTTGAGTTATGCTCAAATTAGCTAATATTGGGCCTCATTCACCTCTAGCTTTCTACATTTTTTCTTAAATGTGTTCTTGGGAAAGGCCCTAAGAAAAAGTCTACATCAGATTCATGACGTGTTTTTAAACTGTGTGTATAGATTCTGTTCTTACCTAAGAACAAATCCCAAATAAGAAAACACTGGTGAATGTTAGAATCTTTGTGAACTGAGTAAGTGGATTTTAAGAAGAAATTTCTTCATAAGAACAGTTGATGAATGAGGTCCATTGTCACTACCGAAACAGTCAGTACCAAAATATTTTGTAGAGTTTCATGTTATGATGTGTTATGATTTTTGGCAGTGACAAAATGGAATGTTCATTAGCCAGTTTTAATAAAATAAACATAATTATGGTATAGGATCACTCTAACTCTAACCAATTCAGTAAAATGATCTATAGAAACTTTATCAAATGTAGAGGTTCTTTAAAATGGTTCACACTCAAACATCTCATTTGCAAAAAAGTTCTGTAGTGCTGTGGTTCTCATATCGGTCCTCAAGTTCACATTTTTGTGGTTCTCAAACTGGTTCTCTGGGCCCTCCAGACGATCCACATTTTTGCTCTATTCTGGGCAGTGGAAACTCTGATAGAGCAAAAATGTAAACTGTTACGAGGAGCCCTGTGGACCGAAAAACAAACCAAAAGTGCCTATGGCATCGTTCCAAAGAGAACTTTTGGCACTTTTAAGGGTTTTTTTTTTTTGCAGTGGCTTTGAAATTGGCTCAGCCATTTGGATTTTAGTACAGGTACTATGCTTTTTACCATGCAGAATATTCTTGTCTTGTAAAGAAGGTGCATGATTTGCTGGCTGATTTAGTTCCTTCTTGGGAAGGCGCTGTTCTCTCTGAAGACTGAGACATCAGGTATAATGTGTGTGAACACTGCTTTACCTCGCGGGGCGCAGGCACAGGTGCTGTTCTGAAAGTTTCTGCATCTCAGCTTTGATCTGCTCCAGCTTCTCCTTAATCAGCTGAGTGTGAGTCTTGTACCTGACCTGAGGCCTGCGTCTCACTGCTCCGCTGCTGATTTTAGACTGACCCCGGTCATTTCCTCTATGTCTCTCTCCTGCATCAGAAAGAATTTTATTAGGGGTTTTAAGATATTCATGTTAATATAGATAAATAGTATTTTGGCATTTTATTCTGATATTGGGCATTCTAGCATTAAATGGAATGGCTTCCTCTGTTCAGTTAACAACACTTCATGATTTAACTAAAAGAGACAACCATGAAGAGAAAAGAAATAAAGAAACAAACTCCCATTTAAGCTTCCCAGACCTTGATTAGCATAAATGAACTAAAATTATTTTTCTGTAGTGATTCACCTTTAGCATTGAAATATAGTTCAAGACTAGGCTTAATCTATGTCTGAGAAACTGTCCTGAAGTGTATTCAAATGTATTTGTCTTATGCTTTCACCAGGTGCTGAGGTTTGCTATGGTAAATGGTAGTATTTTTTTTTGTATTCAATGTGTTTTATATTTTGTTCCAAATCCACAACATATATTTGTGTATCATTACATCCTTTATATCTACCATTACTGTTCTTTTAAAAGAAGCCAACACATATTTTATAGGCCCCCATCTAAACTCTGCCACATGTTCTACTGGTTATACTCGAAGATTTGACAAAGCTGCTGCAGTTCTGTTTGTAAACTGCATGATGAGCAACTTTAATGTAATCAGAGACAAAAATGTGTCAATATCATTAATAGTATATCGTTGCTGTCACAACAAAATGTTTTATTTCCATTTTTGTCATCTTTCAGTTTTTGACATAATTTGAAAATGCCTGTTGGCCTTTACATTGTGTGCAAATTTCATAATGAATAGACCCAAAGAAATAGCCCAAAAGTACTTGGAAAAATGTCTGGTTCCATTGACTTAAATTACAAGTAAAGTATGTTTTTTCCTTCTCTTGTAAAGTTATCATTTTGGAGTTTTTTTTTCTTATTTTTTCTATTTATTTATTTGTTTATGCATTATTATTCATATTCTTCATATTATTCATAAATAATTTACTATTATTTCAGTCATTTTAACTAATTTTAGTGTCTTTTTATCTTATCCACCTTCTGTTGTATTTATCTTCTTTTGATTTTATTAACTTTTACATTTTATTTACACTTGTTTTTATTTTCTACTGTTTTTTTTGTATTTTTATTATGATATTTCATTTTTTATACTTTTATACCTGATTTTAGTCATTTTTATTATTAAATTTACTTTTATTACTTGATGTTTTTACACATTCAGTTTTACTGTGACACCTGGACAAGTTTAGATGTAAAGCAACAAGAACAGGCAGTACTGCATATCATATTTCTATTTAACATGAAATGTTATCTTTACCTGAAGCATATGCATCCCCAGTTCCCTCTCCGAGCCATTTTGCAGGGAGAGATGCCGTGTCTTTGTTAGTTGGAGAGCTCCTTCTAGATGGGTCTAAAAACAGAATGAGACAAGACAACTTTGGTTGAAAGGCACTCCCACAGTTAACAAAGGCAACGCATAGCCTGCAGCACATCTATTGCCCTTAGGGTTTCAGCCGCGATTCTCTACTAAAAGTAGCTAAGCCTACATGTATAATTAAGATTTTCTCATTAGGTGGTCCACCAAACAAAGGCTAATCAACAATCCACACTAATTCAGCACCATCCAAAGTCCAGAAACCCAGCATCAAAAACGTCAACAGTTACCCCCATTTCTGCTGGGGATGCTGGAATATTAGAGTTAAAAAATGACAAAATGCTTGAGGCCAATTTAATATGTTTTGTTTTCTTCTTTTCAAAGTCACTTGCTTTTTAAATCCCCTCTCGTCACAGTCTCTTCAGAACGAGTGCTGCTACCGCTTGAGGTGCTCCTTCCACCCGATGATGAGGACGAGTCACACATACTTTCAGAAGAATCTTTTAATTAAAAGACTCAGTGTGATTTTTTTTTCAAGTCAGGTAAAGGTTGTCTTCACTAATGGTGTATTGCTGGCTTGCTTGCCATGGCAACAGTTGGCATGGAGCAGTGTGTGTTTGGCAGCATGTGAGTAACACACTCCAAGCACTCTGAGAGCTTCTGGAGCTTTTATTTTGCACAACACTTCAAGCAAGAATGCATGACAAGATCATATCAGTATTGGCAGATGAATTATCTGCATCCGTCTGATTTTTAGATTTGACCGATATTTCTAACTGATTTTTAATGCCAAATTTATTATAGTCCAAAACAGGTGACACTGGACTACTACACTAAAATATCTGCATTTTATTCATTTTACTATATATATATATATATATATATACACACCGATCAGGCATAACATTATGACCACCTCCTTGTTTCTACGCTGTCCATTTTATCAGCTCCACTTACTATATAGGTGCACTTTGTAGTTCTACAATTACAGACTGTAGTCCGTCTGTTTCTCTGCATACTTTGTTAGCCCCCTTTTACCCTGTTCTTCAGTGGTCAGGACCCCCATGGACCCTCAAAGAGCAGGTACTATTTGGGTGGTGGATCATTCTCAGCACTGCAGTAACGTTGATGTGGTGGTCGTGTGTTAGTGTGTGTTGTGCTGGTACGAGTGGATCAGACACAGCAGTGCTGCTGGAGCACTGCTATGTGTGTGTGAGTGTGTCTGTGTGTGTGTGTGTGTGTGTAAAGGCACTGACAGATATGTGCTTGAAAAAATATTAGATACTGGCTTCCACAATTACCATATTAGTGCATCCCCACATCTAGAAGCACATGTGGGCTATTTTTATTGCAGCTTTCAGTATCATCATAATCATCATCTTCACAACAGCACCAAAATCATGCAAGCTTTAATCCAACAGTTTTAACTACGTGCTTTTGAGCACAATATTCATTTATACAATAATAATGGATCAATCATTAGAACTTTTACTATCCCCGAAGGGAAATTGGTACAGACATAATACATAAAATGAGGAAATAAATACTACATGACACAGAATAGTACAACATAAAACTATACTATACAACATTTATATTTAAATACCTACATAAGTCAACTGTGGGATGTAACTTAGACTGTATGTAACCATAAAAAGTGGTTTGATGTCAAATGGTGTGTTGTAGAGAAGCTTACAGATTTCTTTCCAATGGTGGTGACATGTCATGATGTCTACAACACAAATATAACCATTTTATTTATCTAAAACCACCAGTGAACCCACACAGGTCTTCAGAGTTTTTATATGTAATGTTGGTAATGGTAAAATAGTGTTAAATCTTTGTTTGTGTACTATTTTGCCTTATAACACCATGTACCTCTCCACCATGAACGGACTAGACTGTGCATCAGACAGCACATTCATAAACGTTTCATGTAATAACTTTCTGTAAGGCTTTTAGAAGCATTTAAGTCTTATATTTGGATGTCTGGTTCCTATCACCATCACTGTGGTGACCTTATTTTCTCTAAAATGGGGCATTTAATGCCAAACCACTTTGGATGATTCTGTTTACATCTTACCCATTTAATTATGCTGAAATTTTGAAAAATCTTAGCAATTCCACTTTAATGTTTTTGATCAACACCGAAGCCCAGAAGGATAAGCGGTTTAGATGATGTGTGTGTTTGATTAATTTTACAAACCCCATTTCTGGAAAATTTGGGATATTTTGTAAAATGTGGTAAAAACACAAATCTGTGATTTGTTCATTCCATTGAACCTTTATTTAACTGACAAATGTACAAATAAATTATTTTTAATGTTTTGACAGACCAACTAAACACATTTTGAACTTGACACCTGCAACACACTCAAGAAACGTTTGGACAGATACAAAACAAGAGTGAAAAGTTACAGAAAATTTAAGTTATACTGTTTTGAAACATTCCACAAATAAGCAGGTGAATTGGTAACAGGTGAGGGTATCATGATTGGGTAGCATCAGTGGATTGGCAGCATCCACTGAATTCCCTCAGTCTTTGCAAGCAAAGATAGGTCATGGCTCACCACTTCGTGCCAATCGTGAGAGAATTGTCAAACAGTTCAAAAAGAACATTTCTCAATGCAAGACTGCAAAGAATTTGGGTTTTTCACTTTCTACTGTACATAATATTGTGAGATTCAGAGAATCTGGATAAATCTCAGTCTGTGTAGGGCAAAACCAGAAACCACTGCTGAATATGCATGACCTTCAAGCCGTCAGACAGAACTGCATGAGAAACCGCTGTGTTACCACGTTAAATATAGCCACATGGGGCTAGGGAGTACTTCAGAAAACCGTTGTCACTTAACACAGTCTGCCACTGCATCAAGAAATGCAACCTGAAATTCTATGATGCAAGGAGAAAGCCATACGTCAACTCTATGCAGAAACACTGCCTAGTTCTCTGGGCCCAAGCTCATCTCAGAGTCCACATTTCAGCTTGTTTTTTTGGGAAAAATGGACATCAAATTCTCCATGCCAAAGATGAAAGGAACCATCCAGACCTTTATTAGTGAAAGGTGCAAAAGCCAACATCTGTCAAGGTATGGGGTGGAATCAGTGCCCACAGCATGGGTGACTGGCATGTGGCTTATTTTGTGATTTTAGAGAGACATATGCTGCCGTCAAGATGATGTCCTTCCTAGGACATTGCCGCTTGTTTCAGCAACATAATGCCAGGCCTCATTCTGCACGTACTACAACAGTGTGGCTTCATAGACACAGAGTGCTTGACTGGCCTGCCTGCAGTCCAGATCTGTCTCCTATTGAAAAAGAATGGCACATCATGAAGAAGAGAATCAGACAACGACAACCATGGACTGTTGAGCAGCTGAAGCCTTGTATCAAGCAAGAATGGGCAAAAAAATTAGTATCCTCAGTTCCCAAACGTTTAAAAAGTGTAATTAAAAGGAAAGGTGATGTAACACAGTGGTAAACATGCCTCTGTCCCAACCTTTTTGAGTGTGCTGTGGGCATCAAATTCTAAATTTGTTTGTATTTACAAGATACGATTAACTTAATCAGTGCAAGCATTGGAAATATTTTGTCAATAAAGGTTGAATACAATTAACAAATTACAGATTCTTGTTTTTATTGCATTTTACAAAATGCCACAACTTTTCTGGAAATGGGGTTTGTAGTTATAATTATTTTTGTATGCATGTATTTGTTTGTTTTCCTGTCCTCTGGTCTGAAGCTCTATTCTGTGCCTGGGTCTTGAGACTGTGTGGTGGCTCAGGTGTCCCGCCACTGATTTGCAACAGGTTGCATAAAAAGATGCGAGTGTTTATCTCAACACCCCCTCAGTCCGGCTTGTCCTTTCCACTTTCCCCCCGGATTACCCCCCGCGATTTTAAAACAGAAAGACTCCCGTTTGTTTTGGGGTCGTTGCTCCCTCTCCCCATGTCCTCATTACGTGGCAGCAAGCTATTGTACTGTCAATCCATCCACGTAGGGGGAGAGAAAAGCGGTGGAGATTGCCAGAACCGCTGTCTCTGTGTATATATACATATATAAACGTTGCTTTCTCTGTCCTATATTTACACGTTGAACTGATCAGTGAAGAGGTCTGCAGCGGAATCCGTGTGGACGGGTGGGCTACTGCTGAGAAGAGAAGGAGAAGGAGGAGGAGGGGGGCTGCTGGACATCCGATCCTCAACTCCAGGCTCAGCCGAAGAGGGTGAGACACGAAACGGACTGACCGATGATGTACATTTGCATTAATGCGATGCGTGTGGTTAGATATGAGGGCGAAAGCAGCAGCCGAGCGCGTATACGCAGAGACCGGCACGAGCGAGCGATGCGATCAGAGATTGGCTGCCACTCTGGCCGCGGCGTGGAGCAGGAAACGCCGCTGCATGACAACAGGCCTGCGGAGCAACGGACAACACAACAAAGCTGCTCATTATACGGCGGTTTTAATCCCACGCAGCGCTGTATATGTGTAGTTTTGTCCGCTTTTACTTCGACTACAAGTAGGCTGTGCTGCTCGTCTCATTCGTGAGGGTAAAAACGCCTAGTGTGCGTTTTGAATCAGCTTGACAGAAAGCCAGAGCAAGCCCGACATTGTTATTGTCTTTCAGAGATAACGGCTGCTAACACGGATGCTTGACAGAATAATGTCCGTGCGAAACTCGCTGAAGTTATTCCCCACGGTGCTGAGTTTGGGGGAGATGTAACTTAAAGTGTTCTGTTTCACCATCTTCCTCCGTGCTCCGTGTCTGAATGAGTTGCTTTTCGTGCCCATCAACATGTCCAGCCCTCACATTAAGCGGAGTTGGAGCGCTAACTTGGCCCTTCGTGTTTGCTGGTGCAGGCTGGCCTGAGATCAGGCAGGAGGGCGTTAATAATTCAGCTGGAAAGAGGAGAACATCAGCAGGGCTTCCTAATGGTGATGGAAGTGTTTCTCCTTTGTAGCCTGGCCCTTTTTAAAAAGTGAAGCGGAATAACACGCATGAAAAAGTACTACACACACTTAAAAAGGTAGTTCTTCAGGGTTTCTTTAGCAAAGACAATGATTTTATACAGAACCATGGACACTCAGAGAACCATTTGCATGCTTAAATTGCTCTTTGCATGGTGCAGGTTGATGGAGAATGTGTTGTATATTGTTCTGTATAGCACCAAAAAGGGTTCTTCTATTGCTAGTAGTCTGACATAACAGTAGCAGAACCCTTTTCGGTGCTATATAGAAATCTTTTCTAAACAGGTTCTATATAGAACCATGTACAGCACATTCTCCATCAATCTAAAGAACAATTGCACCATGCAAAGAACCTTTTAAGCATGCAAATGGGTTTTGAGTGTTTATGGTTCTGTATAGAATCATTGTCTTTACTAAAGAACCCTTGAAAAAACATTTTTTTCAAAGAATGTATGAAATGTCATTTACTCTACAATTATGAAAAAGTACTACACACACTGAAAAAAGATGGTTCTTTAAGGGTTCCTTAGTGAAGACAGTGGTTGTGTGTAGAACCATGGACACTCAAAGAAACATTTGCATGCTTAAGTTGCTCTTTGCATGGTGCAGATTGATGAGGAATGTGGTGTAAATGGTTCTGTATAGCACCAAAAAGGGTTCTTCTATTGTTACAAGCAAGACATCATAACAATAGCAGAACCCTTTTTGGTGCTGTATGGAATGCTTTTCAAAAAGGTTCTATATAGAACCATATACCACATATTTTTCATGAATCTGAAGAACCATTTCACCATGCAAAGAACCATTTAACCATCTTTACTAAAGAACCCTTAAAAAAATATGTTTTTTAAGAATGTATGAAAAATAATTTAGTTCAGTTTTTTTACATTTTTAAGTGCTTCTGTCTCTTTATGTTCCAGTAGCTGTGATCCAGCATGACTGCCCTGCGGCAGAGGAAGGGCAGTAAAGGGAAGGACCCGGGGCTGGACGCTCAGAGCCTCCGGTGTGATCATGCAGCTGAGGTCCCTGTGAAGCCAGCTTCTGGTCAGTAGCCTTTACTTTAGCTGTCACCGATTAGGAGTGATTCAGTGTTATAGACTCATAATAAGTCTGCCAGTGTGAAATAATAGGCCGTAAAAGTAGCACTATAAATGGTAAGCAGTGAGGCAGTGTCTAAGCATTTACGGATGCTTGTAATACCCTGGTGTGATTATCATTATCGATCTTTCCAGCAGGTACATCATGGTGCACAGTATTGTGTGTTGTCACTGGTTCTACAGTCGGAGTTGGTCTGGGTCTGCTGTGCTGCATCTATGTGGCCACACTTCATGAAAATGACCTGTGGTTCTCCAATATAAAGGTAGGCTTCAAATGCGGCTTACATTTTGCTGTGTTGAGACAGCCAGAGAAAGGACTGGTTCTTGTCATGAGAAGATGAGGAAAAGGCCTATAATCCAAATGTTTAAAAACCTGAATCTGTCAAGCTTTCCTGAAGGAGGAATCTAGTCTATGTTTGAATAGTCAAAAGAAGGGAGGGTTCTTAATACGTTACGCGGCCCAGTAGCTTTGTGGCAGCCAAATTTAGAGCCATTTGTATGATTTAATTAATGAAAGAATGGAGCGTTATCTGTCCATTTCAACCTCGTTTTGCAAGGGTTGTTCAGAGGAAACCTTTGTGGATGATGAAGTGGAATTCTTATTGCTTAAATCGCCACTGAGATTTTTATAAATATTCTTAAAATTTGACAGAATTCAGTAAAGGTGGCTAAGTGAGCACCCATTATGGAGCAAGGGCATACTGTGTGTCTGAATAATGTGTGTTGAATAACTGCCATTTCGTATTGCACATATCGTCTTTGTACATTTTGAGTGGTAGAGGTCAGAGTTAAAACATATTATAACAACACCAGAGAGCCTTTTAACCTTCATGCATATGTGTTTACAGATGAACCAAAGTATGGACCATATTAAAAGTCTGAAAAGGACATGGAAGGCTTTTAAGTAGATGCTCTTTTTGTGGTTCCTGCTATTTAACCTTTATGTTAATTTTAAGCGGTTAACCTTATTGCCTAAATGGTACACTTCACTAGCATATAAAAGCATAATAATAGTCGCCGATTGTCTGCTTATGTGGTTCTTGAATTCTATTACACTTTCACAGTTGATATTTAAAAAAAAGCATCTCTGGTATCTGACATTCTACTGAAATTAAATCGGCCTTATTCTTCATGATATATATGACACAGGATAAACCAAGACTGATCTTCTGGCCCAGATTATAAGTGCTGAGCTGCCCTTTAAATCAGTATAGGTCATAGAGCAAGCTTCATTTTATTGTTTAATATACTAAGATGGCACAGTATCATTTGTTAATTGTTGTAATGATATTCACCTTTGCAATTCTGATATATCAGAACTGTGCAGTTTGCATGAGCCTGTAACTCTGAATGTTATATTGTGCGTCATACTTTTTGAGTATTTTGATTAGGGCGCAACTGATATGGAATATTTTGTAACTCATGCTAATACTGATTTTAAGGAACTAGGAATTCTGATAACAAATAAAATCAGCTGATATCATTTGATGTGGTCAAAAACAAAAATTCTGTTATTTTAATCGTAATTAATACATACAATACATACATAGAATACATAATTCTCACTAATTTTACTCTTGTGGAAAAAATGTGCAGGATTATAAGGGACGTCATGTGATGATTTGACATGATTAGAAAAACTGCACATTAACAGCAGTTAAAACATTGTAGAGAAAAGAAATGAGTGAAATGATTTATTCTTTGGCGTACCTCCATCATCTGCAGCTATTTTTGTTCAAACATGCTTATTTTATCAGCTAATCGTTACTAGTCATTCCACTCTGTAGATTCAGTCACAGTATTAACAGTAATGTGAGAGGGCAGGGTGGTGACGCTTTGCTAAATGTGGGCCTATCAGATCTATTCATTACTTAAGAGGGTCGAGCGCATCTTATAACAATGACATTGTTTGCTTTATGACCAATGACAACTACTAATTTATCCTTTAAGAAAATGAATACTCTTTTCCTCAATGCACAGCAATTGTATAGGTGTTACCAGCCTACTGATATATCAGTTGGGAAACAAGGCATGAATCAGTTTGGTCAAAATAAAGCAGGCCAGTGTGTAACTATGCCATAACATTTTTTTTTTCAGTATATTGCTATCACAGTATGTAGCAACAGAGTGCAGTATAGTGTTTTGTCCATTTAGAGCAGCTCTAACCAAAATACTGAACTGCAAAAATTTCCTGTTTTACTGTCTTTTTAAGTGAAAATAACACAGCACATCCACTACAGGGAAGAAGCTTAAATATGACATTTTTCTGCAATTTTAAGTGCACAGTTTTTATTTATTTGCTGAGTTTAACATGTTGGAAATGAATTAAACATAAAATATAAAATGTGCCATAACTTTTGCACAGGCTATATTTCATATTTTTTTCTTAGTATGTTAAATTCAGCAAATAAAGAACAATTGTGCATTAAAATGTGTAACAAAACAGGTAATTTGACCAGGGCTGCCCAAACCTTTGCAGGCAATTGCATCTCAAACACAAAATATTGCAATTTGACTTTTTTGCTCAATATCATCAAACCCTAACAGACACATTTTAAGGCAGCATGTCTTCTTTTCTCATACAAAGAAAAAAGAACAGTAATTGCAGCACAAATGTAGTATGATAGTAGTTGCTGTGGTGTTATAACTATCGGTGCCATATTGCATGTTGAATGCAGTTTACGCTGCAGTTCAGACACTTCAGAGCTGCCTCTGGTATGGGAGGTTAGGATGGATCAGGTGTGACATAATTTTTGCTGTATCTGTGTCAGCTTAAAAAAGTAACGGCACACTTTGGTCTCTAGATCATTTTCTCACACTACAGTGAGAACTTCCCTGCACTCAGGTGATGGAGAAAAACATGAGATACGGGTTTATTTTGTTCAGTTCCTGCTACTTAATATTTGTCACACATTCACACAGGCTCACACACATGCTTCCTGCTGGGAAAGAGTGATTCATTCTCCATATGTGGTGAAAGATTGGTTTTCTTGCACTTTCCCAGATAATCCATGTGCTTTAAAACAGTCAGGCAGAGTTTGGGCAGGGGATTATACTGTGACTTCCAGAGCTGTAACCGAACAAAGTGCAAGGGAGAGCCAAAAAAATTATGTCATGTTCAGTCGAGGCGTCAGTCTTTGCCAGTGTTCTCAAGCAGTGATTAAAATGAAGTCAACATGGAAAGGTCTGAAGCTGGGATCTAAACCAAAGCGGATGATGGGTTGATGGTTTACAGTCGTTTATTCTGGCACTATGGTGTATCCTTATAGTTTCTAACAGCACTGCACATTTTTTTAAACATGTCTCGGGTGTCCAGGTTGAGGTCAAAGCAGTAAAATGGTTGTAAGTGTGTGATAGCGAAAGCAGAGACATGTTTTGGACCTTCTGCTGCTTTTCACACTTCATCTCATGCAATTAAATGTGTTCTGTGAGACTATGCGGATGTTTGCTTTTGATTTAAACACTGATCCTTTTGCAGTGCCCGGCATGGTTTCTCCTGTCCAGATTGAGTAGGATATAATGAAAGCTCGGCTTATTTGAGCATAGAAGTTTCTCTTATATGGGCAATACTGTAGGTGAAGTCATGTTAATGTACTGTATTCTCAGGGTTGGTAAGTACAGAAAAAGTATACTTAAGTCAAGGTGCTGTAAAAGTACTGTGTCAAAGTTGTACTCAAAAGTAAAAGTATGGAGCCAAAGAGTATCTGCATTTAAACAAACCATGTGTATGAAAGTAAAAATGGAAATGTTTTAACAAATAAATTAGAAGTTTTATTTTTGGTGGTGTGCAGGGTGATGATGTGTGGTACGGTAACTAATGGGCACTACTGGACCTTACACAAAGATCAAGTAGCATAGTTGTAGGCAGTAACATTTTAAGCCATGGGCTTCATGCATGAGTAAAAAATCACTCATCCAATTCACTTGAGTGGGAAAGGATGCATGAAGATGAAGAATGAATTTGCTTCTGGTAGCAGTTCATTTCACTTTGCGCCAGGTTCATATAGGTAAACAGTGTTAGCTGTTCACCAAACTATGCATTCCCTCCAAAATCAACCACACATGATAATAAAAATGTTATATTATAAAGTTATTTACTTCTATTCAAAACGTACATAAACTAGTCTTCATACTTGAACACCCATAGAAACATTGGACTCAAAGTTGTACTTTTTTTTTTTTAAAATAAATAAATGTTATTTTTCATTAATTTAGCATTTAATTTAACCACACAAGCAATTAAGAATATATTCTATACACTTTTAAGGAAAAAAAGGGAAAGTAAAGGGGGAAGAAAAGAAAAATCACAATAAACACACAATACACACATATACATATAAAAAACAAAAATACTCTTGATACGATCCATAAAAGTGGTAAATGAGATGAAACTGTCCATGATGTCACCATAATCAAACAGAGGAAGTATAGTCATATAGTACAACCATTACTCAAAATGACTCAAAACACTTTTTTACCAGTATTTCTGAAAGGGCTAATGACTAGGGCATTGCACCATGAAAGTCACTTTGTGGCTTCTTTATGATGCAATACCCTGCCCATATGATTATTTTTTCATGCACTGAAAATGTATTCATATAAAGGAGGTGCTGTAAAATAAAGCACAGCACCTCCTAAATTAGAAAATATATGTAACGTATTAAATTAAGTAGGAAAATAATGGCCCTGGACACAAAATATCCAGGTCATGTTATTGATCCATGTTCTGATTTGTAACACACAGCCTTTTGTATCTTAGAACAGACCAGAAATATTCCAGCTATATTTCTATTCCTGTTTTGTGCTTTAATTACTGATAATTTAGCAAGGTCAGTAAGAGCAATGCTGTTGAATGTTGTGGAATCAGACATGCTTTAATCATTGGTCACGACACTAAAACTGTGAAAAAACAGTAATGTGTACTAGCTGCTTGTGTGTTTTGCCTTGGCTGGCATATACAGTAGGTGGAGCACATGGTAGTTCACTCAGACAAAGGACAGTTTGGGGTTTAAATCAAATCCAGGCACAGTTGTAATGGAAAGAACAACAGCGACGCATAAAGCGCACAGGGCGGTATTTTAAGACTTGCTTATGATTCATTCTCCACTTTCATCTGCTCCCGCTCGGTAAACATGGCCCGGAGCTGCTTCCCTCTGCTCACAGAGATTAAATGACCAGAGCCTTTTCTTCTCCATATGTTCTTCTTCTCGTTCTCCAGTGGAAGGATGTCTGCAGGACCACATCAGGGGCTGCTGTGTTTGCAGTGAATATGTGACACGTTGGAAATTCATTTTCCTCTTCTGTTTAAGAGAGCAGATTGTGGAAGAGAAGACCAGTTGTAGCTAATCAAAGGTGACTACAAAGAGTAGTCAGGAATGAAGCCATTGTATTCTTTAAACTTCTTTTAGAGGAAGCCTACAGTTTGGGCAGTTGAGTATGGTGCAGCAATGTGTTTCTTGAGGCTGCATTCATGACACAGCAAGCTGAGTCTGGATTTAAGTTGAGTTTACAATGAGTTGGGTTGGTTAAAGTTGCTTTGAGTTCAAGTTAAAAGAGCACTATGTAAGTTTGGGGATTTGGAGACCTCTCTGGTGGAAGTATGTAGTTGCAAGCAACTTGCAGAAGAGCGTTTTTGTAGTGTTGCTGTGTGTTCAGCGATCAACTGGTAGAACGATTGTGTAAGTAGGTAGCGTTAAGAGCCAAGCCTAAGGATGCTTATTGGTACAGCAGTTTAATTTCTCTGGATGGGGAACTGAACAATGTTCACGGATGTTGTTATCCACTACGCTGTCACTACAACTTTATTCATACTTCTTGGTTTAGTCTATTGTTTCTAATGTCGCATAATCCCATTTCTTTCTTTTAAGCAGCATCTTATGTAGATTTGTTTTCAAGATTACCATAAAATTGAACCACTTATCTCCCTCATGAACTCAGCCCCCCTAAACATGTGCTAGTTTGATTTCAGCCATATGTTGTGTTGACATTGTTCAGACATGGTCAGAGGTCTGGCTGGTATCTCTTCTAGAACGTCAGCATGTGACGGCAAACAGCTGCAGCTGGGACTCTCTTGAATTCACTGTGTGTGAAGTCATGTCATGACTGTTATAGCACCTCGTGGACTGCAAACCAGAGCTAGCGCTCCAGTTTTAGCTCATATAAACGCTTTAACAAACCCTTTTAACATTTTCCAAATGATCTTCCAAATATTTTTTCAGCTCTCTTTTTCTCTTTTTTCCTGAGTGTATCAGGAGGTCACCAGTTGCAGCTCCAGTGCTTGCTGTCCTGTCTCAGTGTGATCAGTTCCGTTGGCTAATTTTTCTGTGTAAGCCTTCAAAAGAATACTTTACTGATGTTGTAAATGCTCCTGTGAGATGTTGGATGCATTTGGGGCAGCACTTTTTAAGCAGAAGCTCCTCCTGAAAGACTGTCTGGATTTGTTCACTGATTTGCTCACGGATGGTCAAGTTGGGGAAGAAAAAAGATCTGAAAGAAAAGTGAAGCATTGCTAGAAAACTTTCAAAATGGAGCCTCGACATAGAGGGAAGAGCACGCGGAGGACCTCTGAGGATGGGGTATCTTTGGAAAGCTTTGGAACAAAAGAACATATGGGGGTCTGGAAAAAGAGGGAGTGGGTTGAAAACTCCCGGAACTCTCCACAGAAAAGGATTCCTGCTTTGCGCTGTTGGCAGGCTGTTGTCATGGCAACAGGTTTGGTGGTGGCAGGGGTAACAGGACTATCCCATGCCTGGTGTGTTTACTCCATCCATGAGAACCTGCTGTGGTTTTCACAGTTGGAGGTAAGGTTTTCCAAATATTCCGTGGTATCAGACAGTATTTAAGTTTGCGTTAAGGATGTCCTGATCCAGTCTTTTTTTTGCCCCCCCATCTGATCTGAGTTCTGAAATCCGATCTTTGTGTTTACATCAATAATACAGCCACATAATTTAGTTAAGATTTGCTAGGCTGTCAGTTAATGCTACCGTAAATTATTTCATTTTTAGTATGTGCTTTAGTAACAGTCAGTGCTGAAATCATGAGCATTTTCTAGTGTGTTTAATATTTGCTTATTATTATTAAATATAGCTAAATCATGGGGGCCTTAAGTGTCATCCTACTTTGGGCCACTGCACCCACCTTAACCATATTGTTTTCTATGCTAGATTGAAAAGGAATGAATACAACATTAGATGAAAAAAGTTTCATGAATGCAAAAGTAAACACAATAAACAATAATTTGCTATATACAGGGGCTAAACTAAAACGAAACGTTTGAGTAAGTAAATGGTGTATGTGAATTACATTATAAGTGTATATATAAATAATAAATCAAATAAATACAAACTGAATAAAGTACAGTGTTTGTTGACAATGCATGGGTCATATTTTTTTTATTTGTTCATATTTTCTTGCCTTTCATATTTTTGTCTGAGGTGTACTTATAATGTTTGTGTGGCTGTATGTGCCAAAAACAGTCATAATTCATTTTTATATGATCATTTTCCAAGTTCTCTTTATCCTGTAAAATTAAACAGGCAGTTATTGTTACTTTGCCTTTAAGACTGATATATGTAAATGAGCTTTGTTCTGATTGGCTGTCCTGTATCATACCTCATTCAAAAAGCTGAAACAATCCTTATAATTTCAGTGTGTATGGGCGGGTCTACACTGTTATTGGCGGAAAAGGTGGATATATGTAAATGAGCTGAAACGATGAATTAAAATGGACCGTTTCGTTCATTTTCATGTAGGACTGGGTAGTGAATAGTGTGTTTAGATTATACTGTTACAAACTACTTCAAAGTTCTTTATTTTAAAAAAGAGAGTGGCATTTGATTTTCCATGTTATGGGCCCACTAAAGCAAGACATCCATGATGTCTTCATAAGATTTTTCTGCCAATATACTAATTGACACAAATGAGTTTATACTTGTAGGGCCCCTTGTGGCTTGGGTGGCCCTAAGCGACTGTTTATACTGCCCTGGAAATAATCATTTTATAGTGTTGTGGCTATAATTTCACTATAACTTCAGTTTACTCTGATGGGTGTGTGGTAGTCTGCTCCATTCTTGTGAGTTTAAATGTGCTATTTTTGCCTAGCTGGTTTAAAACATGAAGCAATGTGTTGTGGCTGATAAAGCTGAACTTTTCTGCAATATTTTGGTTTTCATGGCATCCTTAGATTGCTTTGATGAATGTAATTAATCCGTGCTTCCTTGAATAATCGTATTATAGGTTAAACAACTGTCCTGCAACCCTGTTATAGCTTGCTTTTGTTGTGCTGTTTTGTTCTGTTCTCCTTTTTTTTTTACATTACTCCAAAAAGAACCATACACAGTATTGTAAATCTTAACTGGACAGATCAGATATCCAGAAAGACAACTTACTATTTTTTTTTCTCAGAACAATCTAAAGCACATAGCAAATTTATTTTAAATATCTATCAATACGACTAAAACTAAAAATCAGTATTGTTGTGTGACACATACACCAGTATACCAGTATAGGCAATATATTAGAGCACTACTTTGATGACATCACTATAGCGAGTCTTGGATTGCTCTCTGTTAGCAGCGTGAGACTAAGCTCTGATGATATTATGTAACCATTTTTCTGTGAAGCGGTTTAATATTTGTTTTTGTCTGAAAAGTATACCCAGTGCTTGTCTCAGATGTTTCATATTTGTACTCAGCGATGTCTGATAGATTCACTTTAAATAGAAAACTACATTTAAAAAGATAAATAGTATTGGCTAAAAGTTGAAAGAACTTTGGTGCAGACTTTGTAATGGCTTCTGTTCTCTCTAGAGCTCAGCCTTTCCATTTATTACTTTTCATTATTTCTCAGGTGGACCTATAACATATTTTCTCTGCTTTGAAATGCTGTACGTGTATGATGTGTATTACATTGCAGGTTTAATGAAACTGCAGAAACTTATAAACTCTGAACTTGGAGGCAAAAGTTTGATTAACCTTTTCAAGTCAAGTTGTGATGTTTGTTTTGCTATATCATTCAAATGTAATTATGTAATTGTGTATTAATTACACAATAGATTACATTTACATTTGGTTTTCATTCTGAATCAACAGGTTCAAAAAAAGATAGAAGAACTACTTTTGGTTACCTAAAGCAGTGGTCTTTAGGGTCCTCGAGACAGACCATCAAACCATGTGTTGTGAGTTGGGGTAGAAAAAAATTTGGACTACCTGGGAGGCTTTCTGGACCACTTTTAGAACCACTACCTTAATCTTTCAACTGCTGGTTCTTTATAGAACTATTTTTATAAATGAGATGTGTGAGCTTGAAGACCTTTCACATAAAATAAAATAAAAAAAAATTAAGTTCTTTTTCCATGTAATTATTTAGAGTCTTTTGTTTTTGCAAGTGTTCTTATTGGATAGAACACCTCCTCTTGTTTCAGTGAGCTACGAGTGAGAAATAATTCATATTGAATTACACCATGATTTTTTTTTAGCACTGTTCAAGAGTTAAATCATTGCCCAACTATTAAAAAAAAAAAATGAAGCTTGTTGTTTTTACTCATCCTTACTGATACTGGATCTTATTTTACATTCACATTTTTTTTGGATAGTTGACGAAAATCACCACTTTACTCACAGGATGACTGAGCTTTGCTGGAGATTCTATTTCTAGTTTGTCATTTGAAAATGTTTTTGTGGCCATGCTGAACTGAGATAGGTTATAGTAAGGACTGCTTTAATCAGTCAAAGTTACTGCACCCGTTTGACTCTGGACTTTTATTGCATCTCTGGAGTTTTCCACTGAAAGATTTGTCCATTTGAAAATAATGGATTGCTTTATAAGTATCTCTTTCTCATACGTAGCAGACATTGTATGAAAAATGCATTCATAGGTACTGTTTTATTTCCCTCTGTGTTTGATGACATTGCATTTGTCTCGGTTTGCATGGCAGGAAGTTGAGCGTGAAATCTCCTTTCGGACAGAATGCGGCCTCTACTACTCCTACTACAAACAGATGCTGAGGGCTCCATCTATACAGGAAGGTATGGAGGTTTCCCTTTAATACCTTGTGTACACAGGCTGGCCAATAAAGGACAGGTCTTTATTCTAGGGCCCGACCAATGCTGAGGCCAGTACCCATATCGACTTGAAGGGGCAAAAAATTGAATAATTGTATTTTTCTTGTTTTCATTTTATGCTCTATGATAGTTTTGGTTAAATAGGACCAATATGATTATTTATGATTGATATGAAGTGTGATTTGTGAAATATGATTGTCTGTTCTCTGTGTTTATGCTTCTTCAGGGTGCGTTTATATATCTAGTTTGGTTCCCTTGGTCCAGACCAAAGCAGAAAATTATACATTATTGATCATTTTAGTTCTGGTTTGCTTAGTGTCCACATTGACATTCAACATCTAACCAATAGATGTAAACAAAGGAATTATGAGTAAAAGGTCTTATCTTATTATATGACATACAATAACTGTGATAATGTCCACTGAACTTTCTGAATCATGCTGGTCTCTGTTCTATCTGTGCTCGTTGGTTGTGTTTCTGTCTTGTGATATTTAGTGCAATAAGGCATGAGACTTACTGCATTACTGTGGTTTTGCATGACACAAAGCAGGCTGAAATCCCTATAACGCAGCCTCGAGTGGCTTACTGCTTTTACAAAACGAAGAAACATTGGCATCTTATTACATAATATAATTTATGTGTGCAGTTAGGTGTGTATATATTTTATAATGGCTTTGAACATGTCTAAGCCTGGTTCTATAACTGAAACTATACTTACCGATTCAGAGCTTATGAAAAGATGATTAAGCACATGCACATGTCAGAACAGCATCAGAAACTCGATTCTTCCGTGTGCTAAGGAACTTGTGTGTTGTATTGTGTTTTACATTATACATAGGCTGTTATTTTTTCTAAAACTTGTTATAACCAAAATTGTTACAAATGGTGTACAGCAAAATATTCTTCAAATATTGTTACACTGGTTGGGGGGGTGCTTGGAGTTCTTTGCAACAACTCTCTTCATAGGAAATGTTTACATTTTACATGTTCCATTTATTTTAACTGTAATGGTGTTTTGTGTTCAAATTTATCAGCCTGCATTGCTGTCATGTGGATTTTTAATTGCTCACCAGAAAAGACACTTATTATAAGGGCTTTATCAGCAATATATTATTTCACCAATGCCAGTAAAAGCACAGGTGATTGATATCAGCCAACTGATTCGTCCTGCTCTACTTCACAGTGGCAGTCAGGGCACCTCACAGTTCCTGTGGGCTTAAGGCTGTGCTGATTTTCTTTGTAGTGTGGGAAAATGATAAAAGATAGAAAAGTTAACAAATGCAAACAGCTTCTAGTGAAGTAATTTCAAGTGTTTTTTTTAATCAACTTCTCAATTGCTGCTGCACTTTTCTAAAAGCTTCCTTGTTAATTGTCATCCGCTTTGTTCTTTCAATTATTCTTAGTTCAATCATCCAGCAAATGGAAAAATGAATGAAATATAAATGAACTAACGAGCCGACGAGTCATGCTTCTCTGTCCACTTTGTCTGCTTTCCGTTATCATTTATGTAATGCGAGGGCAATCGCAGGAACGTTTTATTACATGACCATGGGGAGTATGTTAGTTATATCAAAAAGAACATAAAAAAAAAGAATGAAGCAAGAAGGAAACAGCAAAGCTTTGTTCGAAGACGTTTGAGGTTCCAGTGAGCTAAAGCCCTTAACAGCTGTATTTGGAATGAGCTTCTTTTGTGCTCCAGAGTGGAAAAACATTACAATTAGGCTATTGCCCATCAAGAAAATGGCTGTAGCAGTGGCAGTGCCTATAGCTGTTCTCTGGCTGCTACTTTATCGTGCCTGAGCGATCGGGCATTGTGCCGTAATAGGCTTGGAGCATGCTTGGAGCAATGTTTCTTTATTGAATATGTTGGTATTGAGGTTATTATTGAGACCCCGTAGCTATTGCTGAGGGAGATCCATATAGCTCAAAGCCTGTACTTAAAGCTGTGTTATGTTTGCACCTGTGTGTTTTTGTGCAGGTCTGTATGAGCTCATAAATGACAACACTACAGAGTCTAAGAGGACTATCAATATTCTGCAGCGTATGAACATCTATCAAGAGGTGTTGCTAAGCATCCTCTACAGGATTCTGCCCATTCAGGTAGGCTGATGTTGCTATGGCAGCGAAAGTGATCGTCCGCAACTGTTTTAATACAAGAATTTTGTCATTTACTAAATACTATTTAATACATCTATTACATTTCTTTACATTCTACTGATCTCTCTCTCTCTCTGTTTCTCTCATATGTTATATATATATATATTATATATATATATATACACACACACACACACACACACACACACACACACATATATATATATATATATATATATATATATATATATATATATATATATATATATATATATATATAGAGAGAGAGAGAGATAGAGAGAGGAGAGAGAGAGAGAGAGAGCCCCCCTTTACCGAGCTATAACAGCCTCCACTCTTCTGGAAAGGCTTTCCAAAAGATTTTGGAGTGTGTCTGTGGGACTTTGTGCCCATTCTGTTAAAAGAGCATTTGTGAGGTCAGGCATTGATGTTGGACGAGAAGGCCTGGCTCGCAATCAATGATCCAATTCATCCCAAAGGTGCTCAGTGGTTTTGAAGTCAGGGCTCTGTGCAGGCCACTGGAGTTCTTCCACACTAAACTCGTCAAACCAGGTCTTTTTGAGACTTTTTGTGCACTGGGTCATTCTGGAACAGGGAAGGGCCTTCCCCAAACTATTGCCACAAAGTTGTAAGCATATTATTGTCTCAAATGTCTTTGTATGCTGTAGCATTACCATTACCCTTTACTGGAACTAAGGGGGCCAAACCCAAAATACAGTCTGCAGCATGTAGCGTTCACCAGGCATCTGCCAAACCCACGTTCATCAGACTGCCAAATAGTGAAGCCTGATTCATCACTCCACCTAAAATGTTTCAACTGCTCCAGAGTCCAGTGGTGGGGAAGCTTTACACCACTCCAGCCGACACTTGGGCATTGCGCATAGTGATCTTAGGCTTGTGTGCAGCTGCTTGGCCATAGAAACCCATTTTATGAAGCTCCCAATGCACAGTTCTTGGGATTATGTTGTTTCCAGAGGCAGTTTGGAACTCTAGATAGGCTGTTTTGTGGTCATGGTCTGCTTTGAGTTTGAGCTGTTGTTGTTTCTAAATGATATGTGTGTGTGTACATGATATATATATATATATATATATATATATATATATATATATAAATAGATGATATAAATAGATAAATAGTTCTACAATTACAAACTGTAGTCCATCTGTTTGGATCATTGGATCAGTGGATCATTCTCAGCACTGCAGTAACACTGATGTGGTGGTGTGTTAGTGTGTGTTGTGCTGGTATGAGTGGATCGGACACAGCACTATGTCCACTCACTGTCCACTCTATTAGACACTCCTACTTTGACAGTCCACCTTGTAGATGTAAAGTCAGAGACAGTAGCTCATCTGTTGCTGCACAGTTTGTGTTGGTCATCCTGTAGTCCTTCATCAGTTCTCACAGGACACTGTTGGCTGGATATTTTTAGTTGGTGGACTATTTTCAGTCCAGCAGCGAAACTGACGTGTTTAAAAAGTCTGATCCCACTCATACCAGCACAACACACACTAAAACACCATCACTATGTCAGTGGCACTGCAGTGCTGAAAATGACCCACTACCCAAATGATACCCGCTCTGTGGTGGTCCTGCTGGGGTCCTGACAATTAAAAACCGGGTAAAAGGGGACTAACACATTATAGACTATGTTCACGAATTTGACATACAAGAAAAATTAATTATACACTTTGATTAATACGCTCTTGATTAAATAATCATAAAAAATAAATAAAAAAATAAAATGACAAATTGTTTTCCATTATACATCAGTTGTTATTCTTTTCAAAAATTTGTTATATCCAAAATTGTTACAAATGAATATATAGCATTGAGGTCTTCATACACATGAAAGTCTTATAAACATATATGTGTTTGTTCACAGGACTACCTCGAACCGGTTTATTTCTACATTTACACTGTGTTTGCTCTGCAAGCAGTGTATATTCTAGCTCTGTTCCTCACCAGCTGGATGCTTAGTGACTCGTGGCTGGCAGGAGCTCTCACTGGAGTGTGGTACATCCTCAACAGGTGATTCCTTTACAAAACACTGCCTCACTGTTATTCTGATGCAAATTGAAATCAGTGCACTGAGATTTCTGTAACACTTCATAAAAGGTTGTATATTAATCATTTTTTATGTTAATTAGTCATTGATTACCCAGTATTAAATTAATCACACATCCATTAAGTAATTGATGCTTAAGTTAAAAGAAGTAAGGAGTGCTTAATGGTCAGAATATAAAAACACTTTGGTAACACTTTTCTTGAAGCCCACTACAGAACATACATATAGAGAGCCATGCTACATAACCATGTCATAAACATGTTGTGGTAGAGGTCATATGTTGTCTTGATTTATGACGGATGCCTAGCAATATAAAAGTGTCTATCATTACTGATAGTTGCCGTGACATTTTTTATAATGTTATTGTAGTGTTTGATGTCATGACGACTAAAATTACTAAAATACACAGCAAAAACTGTCATGTGACATAAGCTGTCATGACATCAAATATTATAACATCTGTCAGTTAACACCTTATAATCCCAGGATTATTAAATTCTAAGTCTTTTAATTCAATAACTACAAGGCCTATACTGCAAACCTGCTGAGTTCTTAGGTAATAGAGGTGTGTAGTAAAACTTTAAACCTGCTGGTGGGTCCTGGCCATTTCAGGGGTTAATAACAAAGAAGATTAAGTAAAAAAAATAATCAAATAAAAAATATTATGCAGATTAGTAATAAGAATAATAAATAACTAAAAAAATCACTGAATAGGAGAGGAACGAAATAAATTAGAAAATAAAAAATATAACTAGTGATAAAATAGCCAAATGCTAAAATAAATAAAATAAAGGACATCAATAAAAAATACATTTATATATATTTACATATATAAAACTGTTGCAGGCTGAGTGGAGATGGTTAAAGTTTGAAATGGTCCAGTGACACACATGAGTTTTAGAGATTCATGTTATAAATGAAAAGCAGTTTAATGTCATATTTTTCAAGAAAAGAGCAGAATATTGAGTCATCATGTTAACTTTGTATTGATGTGTTTGTATTTGTACAGGGTAGACACAACGCGTGTGGAGTTCACCATATCTCTGAGAGAGAACTGGTCTCTGCCGTTTTTTGCCCTGCAGGTCGCTGCCATCACATGCTACCTGCGTCCTCAGCTCAGGCCGACCCACCAGGTACAGAACTGCCACATAACGGACCTTATTGATGTGGTAATCTTAGAAAAGTGGACTTGCATCATTGCTTTTGTCCATAATAGCTGAGTTCATTTTTCTTTTTAGAACAGCAGGTGCTGAGGTGATGTAAGAGAAAAGACGGCTGTTTTTAAACACTGGGCTGAAATGTAAAAGAGACGTTAGTAGCTTTTTCTGAACTGTGTGAAATGTTTATTCTCTGGTGCACACATTTGTTCTCTGTCAGTATGTGTTCATGTGGAGGTATTAACAGTTTGTTCTGGCCGTTCAGACAGATGGTGGTTGAGTGGAAGAATTCCCCAACACACCTGGGCCTGAGACAAGGACCTCATGTGCCAGTGTATGTTTGGGTGTCTGGACAGTTGGGCTTTAACATCTTGTGTGTGTGTGTGTGTGTGTGTTCTGTGCACAGAGGGTGGTGCTGTGGCTGGTGTTTGTCTGTACGTTTTGCTTCTGTCTGACATGGCAGTTTAATCAGTTCATCCTGCTGGTGCAAGCCCTCCTCATCTTCACTCTCGATGCTGTGGACTTTCTGACAGCGGAGCAGGTAACGCGCACCTCTACTCCCTCAAAGTTCACATAAATGTAACTTCACAAAGGCTTTATTTACACTTTATTTAACATCCCCAACTTTAAGAGACCCCTATGGAGGTCCATCTTTAAAGGGCCCATATCATAGAGAACTAATTTGTCCTCTGTTGACGTGAAATAGTTTAGTGTAGTCTGTAATTGTAATAATCACATGTAATGTTGTATGAAACTTCAACATTGATAAAGTGTCAAAATATATGAAAAATAAAAAAATAAGCTGTAAAAGCCCATCTTGAGATCATCATGTTTCCATGTGTCTGACTATGCAGCCTACAGCAGGTTATCCTGCCTGTCGACACTAAAATAAGGAGTGTTTCACCTTGGACAAAGCACAATACAGGACAGCCAGTCAGAACAGAGGTCATTTATGGTCATATATCGGCCATAATGGTACAGAAACAAAAAATGTGAATAAACTCACTACAAACTACATAACTCACATTTTAGTAATCAGTAATTAAAAAGAAAAATACACATTAAAAATTGCAGCCAGATGTTTTGGGAGAATTGTGCACTATCCTTCATCTGTTTCGTCTCGTGCTTCTAGGTTGCCCATCCTCTGTTTTCTCATCATTAAGATAGCTTGTTAAATTAGGGAGGCATGAGCTGTTTTAAATGCTGTGGGTGGAGATGATGTCACCAGATAATGAATGTAGACAAGCTGCCTGATCTGTGTTTAAAATACGTACAGATCTGATCACAACGCATTCTTGATTAGAACGGGTTCAGGACAGCTACAGTTGTATGCAAAAGTTTTGGCACCCCTGGCCAAATTCCATGTTTTGTTGACAGGGGCGGTCTTCTCACCAGGCAAAGGTAGGCAGCCGCCTAGAGCCCCCATGAGCCAAGGACCTCATGAAAACACAAATTAGATATACTGTGTGTTGATGTTCAGTAATGAAAGAAACACAAAAACAACATCAAATGTAGCAGTATCATGTCAACTAAACAAACCATAGACCTATCAGAAAATAGCTTGAGAAGCTAGGATGGGTGATTTTCCTTGCTATGCTATCATATTGGGCAGCTCGTTATCTGCTAATTTGCATGTGCTAGCTAGCTAAGTATCCTTATCCATCAGTATTTATTTACCTCCCACACTCTCGTAGTTTCTCTTCATATGGTTTCCTTTCTGTTAAAATCCTTATAATACTTACTGGAAGGGTGTAAAGGTCCCTCCTTTTCTCCACTTCTTGGAAGACTTTCCCCTCATCCATTTTAAGGTGGAATGGCAGAGTTTTGTCAGAAGCGACATGTCGCATCGCATCACATTATGCCGCTCACAACTGGTACACGGCGTCATTGTTCAACTATAATGGGAGCATTTTAGTTTTGTCATTGCTCGCTGGTGTCAGTTGTTGTTAGGACTCAGACGGAGGAAAGCAAAAAGTTTGTTCCTGCTTTCCTAAAGTTAACTTTATTTTTTCAGTCAGAACAGAGTGCTGCACAGCCTCAGCAGTACATAATGCTTGTGTTAAAGTTAGTATAGATAGCTTCAGCGTTGGGTAATAAATAAAAAAAAAAATCCATTACAAGTTACTAACTACTTCTCTCAAAATGTTCATGGATTACATTACGTATTACTTCCCGCAAAACAAAATAAATTAAAAAATACTAATTTCTTTACTTCTGTGTTTCTTCTGTGTATCTGTACCAAATTATCTTACTATATTGGCAGCAAATTTAGCTATATTTCTTAAACCAAGGAAGTTAAATGATCTTGAGAAAGAGAAATGAGAAATACTACATATTAACAACTAAATGAGTTTACTTACCATTTTTGCAGTGTAAACAGAAATGCCACTCAGGAGCCCAGAGCCTCATCTCACTTAAAAATGTGCATCCAGTGAGCCCTGTTCCTGTTTTTGCCTGGGGCCTCAGAATCACTAAATCTGCCCCTGTTTGTTAACTTTCTAAGTGAAAATACCTACACATATTCCTCAGAAATCTTCTGCAGATATTTTCCACATTTTAATGCGCAATTACCGTTTATTTGTTGAATTTAAAATATTGGAAATAAATGGCTTGGGCAAAAGTTATGGCAGATTTTGTGTTTTATTTTTTTTTCCACGTTTTTAACCAATGGTTATTCAAAATTTTGCATACGATTGTAGATCTGAACACTTTCCAATCGCAGACGTGGCAACATCCAGATTTGAGAGACATTTCAATGGCGAGTGTAAACAATAGGGGTAGAAATAGTTCAGTTTTAATCTTGTAAAAATGGTGACATCAAACTAACTGATGGAAATGGAATGGTTTTTATGAAACCACGAAAGTAAGAAAAACACACTTGTACCCCACTCAAAATGATTTACGCTCTACATTTAAAATATATTTGCTTGTTTGTTTTAATTTAGCTTTTATCAGATGTTGAGCTCTTGTTTTTGCAATTGCAGCTAAATAATAAAAGCAGTATAGATGTTGGCGTTTCTCTGTTACTTCTGTATTGAAAATGTATGTAAAAATGTGTCATATGTAATGGTGCAAAACCCACAATACAACACGTATTGTGAAATTTGTGTATCATACCTCTGGTAACAGGACCTAAAGCATCTCCTCATGGGTGTCTGTCTGTCTTTGTGCAGGTGACGTCTCTGTACCTGGTGCAGGTGGTGAGTCTGCTGTGCGTGTGGCTGCTGCAGTTCTGTAACTCCATGATTCTGGGCTCTCTGGTGCTCAGCTTCATCGTGGCTGTGCTCTTCATCAAACATTTCCAGGTGGATGCCCGAGTGCTAAAAGCATGTTTACCCTGCTGAACTTAACCCCTTAACCCCCTAATTTCCCAAGCTCATTACATCCTATTATTCTTTAAGTTATTCTTAAGTTATATGAGTGAAAAATGGAAGTCTGGACCTGCCAACAGGGCATTTAAGGGTTAAAGCCTTCCTCATAGCCATGTAACGTTCAATAGACAGTCGTATTCAAACGTTTGAACATGCCTGGTCAAATTACTTGTTTTGTTGATTATCTAAGTGAAAATACGTTCTCCACGGAGAACAACCTTAAATATGACCCTTTTTGCCAACTTTCATGCACAGTTTTTATTCATTTGCTTAGTTTAACAAATTGGAAAAAAAAAATCTTGTGCAAAAGTTATGGCACATTTTATGTTTTACTCTTTTCCCAAATGTTAAATTCAGCAAATGAAAAGTAATTGTGCATTAAAATGTGCAGAAGTATGTTCTCTCTGGAGGATGTAACTTATTTTTACCTAGAATATCTTATTAAATGTTATACTCATGAAAATGACAATCATATACAGGGCTTGTTCTGTCATTAACATCCTGTAAGAGTCATGGAACTTACTAAATTGGTTTTCCAGGCCCAAAAAGTTTTGAAAAATAAGGCCCTAGAGGTTTTGGAAAACCTCTGAAAATTCACGTTTTGTACATACAGACATTTATAACGTCTTAGACTTGCTCTTTAGAAACTTTATTGAACAGTCCTTTAACCAAAACCTTTAATAGACCATATTTTAATTTAATTTTTTTTTTTATTGTTTTTTCTTTTTTTTTTTCCCTGAGGTTCACTTATAACATTTATATTTTGTTTTTGTTATTATGGCTTTGGGACTAATATATGTAAATAATCTGTTAGTCTGCCCTGGATTGTGTATCATTCAAAAAGCAGTCCAGGCACAAACTCTCCTAACTGGCAGAGCAAAACCTCTGTAGGCTGAATTGGCAGATATGTGTGAATGAGTTGGTTTTCATGCCGTCACAAAAACAGTGAATTAAAACGGGCTGTTTTTGCAGCTTAGTTTCCATATATAGACTATATGGAGTAGAGTGAGAATGATATGTTTTAAAAATGTAACATTGTTTATATACTACATCAAACTCTTACGTGGTAAAAGATCTGCACATTTTAATGCACAATTACTGTTTTTGCTTTATTTAACATATAGGGGAGAAAATTATGTGGGTTGTACAAAGGCTATGTCACGTTTAGTATGTTCTGTTTAATTTTTTTTTTTTTCCAATATGTTAAACTCAGCAAATAAATAGAAATTGTGCACTAAAATTTACAGAAATTTGCCATATTTAAGTGTGTTCTCTGTAGAGGATGTGCTATTCTTAGTTAGGAAATCAATAAAACGTATAGTCTGCCCAGGGCTATGTACACTTTGGCATACGATTGTATATGTACAAGACAAATGTAGAGTATAGTAATGTAGGGCTTTACTTATATGTGGTTCCAGAAGCGCTATATTGTGTACCGGATAAAGATGAGAGGAATGAAAATAAAGCTTGACTTGACTGTCCAATTTCAATGTGTGTGTCTCAGACAGGGCTAAAGACAGGAGGTTTTGTCGTCCGTGTAGCGAAGCTGGCTCTCCATGCCTTCCTGGTCCTCACATTAACTTTCATCATCAATTATTCAGCCAAGGTGAGCACTGGGACATGTTCTACATCCTCTGCCCTGTAACCTGCAGGGGAACGCCACTCCTGCCCAGTCTAACTACCACCCAGGGACTTGTGCTCTTTTGTCATCTCTTTCTCTCTCCTGTGTCTACCTCAACCTCTCTCCCTCTCTCACTGGAACAAAACATCTCACGTAACCTGATTCATGCTACAATTCTTTCCTTTATAGACAGTCCTGCAGCTGAGGTCAGACGAGCACATCTTCAAGTTCATAAAGGCTAAGTTCGGCTTGGGGGCCACAAGGTGCGTTCTGTATTGGAATTCTCCATCTCTGTAGACTTAAGCCTTTTATCATCAATCAGAGCCATTAATGTAATGTTTTATTCAGGATCCTGCTCTACAATGAGACTAGATGGAGACATTAATCCCCTGTGATTTTAAAAAGGTCCTGCTTCTGTGAAAAATAGCATCTGGAACGCAGTGTAATCTACTCATTCACTCGATATTACAGCAATTTCAGATTACACTGTGCCCCCAGGACCATAACACTATAACAACTTTCTCAAACCTCTGCTTCATAATGTATGGTGCTTTTTTTTATACATTCTCTCTCTTTCCCTCTCTCTCATCCTCTCCCTCCCTCCCTTCCTATGTCTCTCTCTCTGTCTCTCTTTCATCCTCTCCTTCCCTCCCTTCCTATCTCTTTCTCCCTCTCTCTCATCCTCTCCCTCCCTTCCATCCTTTCTCTCTCTCTATCTCTCTCTCTCCCCCTTCCTTTTCCCTTTCTTTCTCTCTTCCTCCCTCTCTTGCTCTTTCTCTCTGACACTCTTTCTCTGTCTCTCTTCCTATCTCTCTCTCTCTGTCTTTCTCTCTCTCTATCTCCCACCTTGCCCGCTCTTTTTCCTTTTCTCTTCCTCGCTCTCTCTCCTCGCTCTCACCTCCCTCCCTTTCCCTTCTCTCCCTATCTCTCTCCCTATCTCTGTCTCTTTCTCTCTCTCTCTCTCTCTCAGAGATTTTGATGCGAGTCTGTATCTGTGTGAGGAGGCTTTTGGCTTGTTGCCGTTGGATACGTTCGAGCGCTTGGCCAACACACTGCTGGTTTACCCATATCTCTGCACTCTCTCAGTTCTGCTCATTGTGCTGGCACTCGCCGCTCTTTTCAACCTCAGGTACTCACCTAAACAAACAAACAAACAAACAAACAAACAAACAAGGCACTATATTAAACATCAACTGCTTGATATAATTATTCCCTATTTATATAAAGTTTGATGTTGTACTGAGACAAGAGCACAAAATTATTTTGGAGTCGACAATAAATTGTTATACTCACAAAAATGTCTTAATCGTGTAAACACATGTCAGGCTCCATTCCTCATGGGCCAAAACACTGCAAACTTCAGCACACTCATTAAACACACCAGATTCAGCTCATCAGCTAATTAGCAAGGCCTTCATTAACTGAATTCAGAGTGTTAGATCAGGGTAAACGCAGAACTCTCTGCAGAACTTTAGCCCGGAAGGTCCCCAGTTTGACATGCTTGATATACGAGGTTCATTCTGTCATGAAAATCTTTGAAAAGTCATGGAATTTATTGCATTTGTTTTCCAGGCCTGGAAAGTTACTTTACTTTTTCCTCTGAGGTCCACTTAGAACAGTTATGTGGTTTGATGTACCAAAGTCGTAATTCATTTTACATTAACATTTTCCGACCTCTCTAGATCCATTAGATTTAAACAGGCTGTTTTTTGTACTGTCCCTTTAAGACTGATATATGTAAATGAGCTCTGTTCTGATTAGCTGTCCTTTAATGTGAATCATTAAAAAAACAGCCAACTCCTTATAACTTTAACATGAATGGGTAGAGCTAAACCTCAGTAGGCTGAATAGGCCAACATGTGTAAGAGCTTTGGTTTTCGGTTTGCAGTTTGATTTGCAGCTTAGTTTCCATAATAGACTGCATGGACTAGAGCAGGGGTGTCAGACTCAACAAGTAAAAGGGCCATATTAAAAAATCTCATCAAATCTGTGGGCCAGAGGAAAAAAGAGGTTTTTATTTCATTTTTAATTAATGTTGTGCTATAACCAGAACTGGCCATTGTTTATTCAAAATATGCAAAAACTTCAACAGTAAAATACAAACACTTGTACTAGACCTTGAAATATTACATATTATATTTAAAATTTAAATGTCCCCAGGAGCTCTGTGTTTTAAACCTACCTTTTTGCTTGAACTAGACTCCTGGCATCCTTTCTTTGCTACAAGTTCATTAAGACTTGGGCTCAATTTCTGAGCTTCTGAGCTGACGTTAAATGTTAATGTTGGTTGAACTGCAGCTAAAATGCATTTTGGTGATATGACCAGATGTTTGACACATGGGACTATAGAGAGAACGGTATGTTTTAACACTTTAACAATGTTTATATACTACATCAAACTCTTATTTCAGAGGAAAATTCAGTTTTCCATTCTCTTTAACCAAATCATGGAAAACTCAGGTCTCTGAGGTGTATTTAAATGAGGATGCTCCTGATTGGACACGTTGCTAAATATTCCAGGTAAATGTGGCTTCAGAAATAGCTGTCTATCAAACAAAGTATGAATCTTGGTATGAAAAGTATGAAATGCACTCTCTAGCTGTGCTGTAGGCCTGTCCTTTATCCACATTTGCCACTCTGTTCTCACCCTGTTTCTCATTTCCGTTGGTCAATAGTCCTCACACACACTCACACACACACGAATTGAGCTTCATTTCAGATAAGCCAGTTAACCTTTCTCCACTTTGAAAACGACGACTGAAGAATAATCAGGGTTCGAATGTCACAGAGTCTTTTTTTTCTTTTTGTCATGTTTAATGCATTTCCCTTTCCTCCCTTTTTTACCTGTTTCCAGAGAGGCCGGGGTGGGCCGAGCACCCGCAGACAACGACGAGTCGACCTTCAGCATGCGGCCGGATGTCGCCTACAATCTTCTACACACAGTCTTCTTCGGTCTGCTGGCTTTATCCACCATGAGGTAAATGAAAGCTGATTTGCAGATTCAGTGCCAAAGGTCCTGAACGTTTCACGCAGAAACTGACCACAGTAAATCTAGTCATTTTTAGGGATGTAACAGTGTACATTTTTATGTTTGATACAATTTTTGATTGAGAGATCAAGATTTTATTTGTTTTTTAGTTCTTTATTTTTTAAAATGTTTTGATTCAGAGTTTTCGGGACCACAGGATCTGAGCGGGCATTCGACCCAACACTTTTCAAAGTACTGGTGCGATGACTCGCCACTTTCTGATTGAGCAGCTTCACAGATACACACAACACATAGTTGAGATTTTGGACCTGTGCGCGCTGTGGCATCTGCAAGCCTCTGCGAGCTACTCTTATCCATGAACCTCTTCTCTACATCTCGATGCGTATATATTTATCTGCATTTATTAGCATATATATTATAACATATTAGGTTGAGGCTAGAGCATTAGATTGTTTTTTAAAAAACACAGCTTTTCTTTCAAATAATGGTGAATGGTTTATAAACTGAAAATGGAAACTATTGGCCTCATTCACTCACCATCCTTAAGAAGAAATTTCTTCTTAAAACACACTTAAAATCCCACAGTTTTCTTTAAGGTTCTGACATTCACCCTAGGTAAGAAGAGAATCTAAACACACTCAATCTACACACTCAATCTACGTACGTTCTGCGGTGTAAGAAAGCGTCATGAATCTGAGAAGACTTTTTCTTATGACCTTTCTCCAAAACAAAACCTAAAAAAAAAAGGGTATTGGTGAATGAGGCCCTATAACATATTAATATAAGGCACATTTTTGTCCACTGTATCATTTCAAATCAAGTAAAGGATTTTATTAATTGTTACAGCTGTAGTAGTAATGCAGCAGCAAAGTTCACACCTATAAGCTATTAGTTTGAAAGTTTTATTCCCTTTTCTCTTCCTCGTGTTAACATGCCTTCCTTTTCTTCAATTATTATTATTTTCCGGGCCCGGCCTACTCGTTCTCTGTTTTTTTCTTGTTGAAATCCGACCTCTTTTATCTTATCAGTTTTTCTTCCCGTCACTCAGAGCAGTTCTAATCTTTAATCTCCATCTTATTAGAGGAAGCCATGAGCTGCAGGCCTTTTCGCCTCCTTCTGAAGAAAGCGATAATGCTGAGTGAATTATTTTGCTGAAAAAAAGATTGCAATATATCACTCTTGGAATTTTTCGTCTGCTGTCTTCTGAATACTAACAGGTTTGAGAGTGTGGTCTCATCCATAGATAATGTGTCCTCCGTGTCTGTTACTGCTCTTTATCAGGAAAATCACCATAAGCACTGAAGTTGTTTTTCTCTGGCTGCAGGATGAAGTACCTGTGGACCGGTCATATGTGCGCTTTCGCTGCCTTTGGAGTTTGTGGCAAAGAAGTGTGGGCGCTGTGCCTGAGAGTCATCCACTGCAACACTAAAGCTAAGGTTAGAGCACATACACTCGCAAAAACACCAGTCCACTGCAGTACTCAAGCTAAGTTAAGGGCATAGGGCCAGAAACCTGCACTGTGTCCAGACTGAAGCTTTATAAATAAGCTCAAACTAAGAATAAACCACAGAAAGTTTTAGTCATAAAGATTTTTAGTCATGTTGTACATTAAAAACAGCATGTCACTGGAGTGACTTTCTGAGTGATTTTCTGAGTGATTTTCTAAGCCGCTTATCTTTCTGGGTTGCGGGGGGAGCTGGAGCCTAACCCAGTAGTCAGTGGGCAGAAGCCATGTTGAATTTAAATATATGTAATTTTATTCTGATAATATTCTGATCATTTTTGTCAGTTACATTACAGAAACATAAAATATCTTTTAAGAAAAAAACGAAAAGGTGTTTTTTTTTAAAATTAGTTCTTGTACGGATATCTCAAAGGAAGAAAGAGATCTCATTGTTTATTTCTGATAAATCTGTCTAAAATACATGTCTCACCAAAAGACTTGGTCAGTGGTGTATCTCTGTGAACATTAAGCAGTTTTAAAAATCAAATATAGTAACAATATAAATGCAATATTTGTAAATTGAAACTAAAGTGGCAGTGGACTTTTTAGAAAAGCACAGATCGTAGTCTTTTTGTCAGCAGTGTTACTGTCAGTTGTGTTACAACTTTTCTGATGATTTTCAAAATAACAGACTACATTCTACACTTGAAATACATATCAGCATTCATAGCCCTTTCACCACAGTAATGATAGAATGACCCATCTATGTTTTCCTTATATTGTCTGTCAGACATTTCTTAGCACAGTGCAGTTAGAGCCCTCACTAATGTCATCACGCTGTTCAGTCACATGGAGTTTACAGCTCATATTATTAATCTGGTAAAATTTGCATAGAAGCACCCACCTCTGGTGTGCCCCCATTTTGTTGTTTCTCTTATGTTTCCCGATATGATAATATAACAGCCCTGGACGATCCGTGGACGAGTCCATGTAAAAGTAGATGTTGACAAAATAAGCATATGGATTACATCTCCGTCTGAAAATGTGTCTTGAGAGCTGCATTACACCTCCTGTGATATGAGTGGAGATTTAGTTTCAGTGAAAGCTCGCGGTCAGATTCCCACAACAGTAGTACAACAACATGCATTTGCAGTTCTCTCCACTAGGTGGCAATGTAGTAACAAGCTAAATCTGAGAATCTGTATATATGTGTATACATATATATACACTCTTACTCTATGTTAATGTGTTATTTCTGTGCTTTCACAGCTCAAGTTGGTCAGGTACTCTGTTCCGATTGTGGTTCTGGCATTCCTTTATTACAAGGTAAGACATTTGTAGCAGGGCTATCATTTTTCAATTTACATATTGGGCTAATCTGCCTGGCCAGCAGTAAAGCGGGCAGCGCTGCGCTGAGCTCAGACAGCCATGAAGAAAAGCTCACTGCAGAAATACTAGCAGTCTCCCCGTGTTTATTTTTAAGCGGATTTTTGTGTTTTTCCCTGATGGGCTAATTTTGCTCTGTCAACAGTGTACTGGCAATATATGTTTATATTATATATATATACACACATATACAATATGCAGGTGTGTGTGCTTGATTTGGTGTTGATCCTAAAATATCGTGAACTTCCTTACTCAAACTCTCTCTCGCTCTCTCTCTCCCCTTCCTTCACTCTCCCTTCAATCTAACTGTCCTTCTCTCTCTCTCTCTCTCTCTCTCTCTCTCTCTCTCTCTCTCTCTCTGCTCCCTCTCTGTGTTCTGTCTTTTTCAGTTCTTTCTCATTGTGTTTCATTCTCTCTCTCTCTCTCTCTCTCTCTCTCTCTCTCTCTCTCTTTGCCCTCTCTGCTCCATCTCTGTTCTGTCTTTCTCAGTTCTTTCTTTTTGTGTTTCATTCTTTCTCTCCCTCTCTCTCTCTCTGTCTCTCCCTCTCTGTCTCTGTCATATGAGTAATTCTTACACTCACTCTTTTTACTTTTGTGCTGCAGTTTTGGCCCAAACTGATGGAGGAAATTTCTGAACTGAGAGAGTTTTATGATCCAGACACTGTGGAGCTGATGACGTGGATTAGGTGAGGCAAGACGGGCACAAACACAGACAAATATAAAATCATGTGATACACAGAACCATTTCTTTCTGAAATCAGCAGTATTAATAGGGAGTGCCCCCCCACCCCCTTTGCTGCAGTAGCAGCCTCTACTCTTCTGGGAAGGCTTTAAAAAGATGTTGGAACATTGCTGTGAGGATTTGATGGCATTCAGCCAGAAGAGCATTAGTGAGGTCAGGTACTGATGTTGGGTGATTGGCTATGGTTCACTCCAACTCAGGCCAAAGGTTTTGGCTGGAGCTCCATCACTCCAGAGAATGCAGTTTCACTGCTCCACAGCTCAGTGCTGGGGGACTTTGTATCCCTGTAGCTGACATATGGCATTGGGCCTGGTAACCTTCGGTTGAAATGAACATAGGGCTGGATCTGGAGGCTTATTTTTTTAGGTGCCAGCACTAATGTTAGAGGGCTAAAAGATCAAGAATACTTTTAAAAGCCTGTTTCATTAGAAATAAAGCCACACTGCATCTGTCTTCTCAGTCACGTCCTTAACGACGCTTCCCTGGCAACACGCTTACATTTGGAGTAGTAGAGTGTAGTATACGCACTTGCTTGCAAAAAAGCGGCGTTTTACTGAATTGTTTGTTTCTATGTTTTCTCTTTCTTCCTGTGCTGAAATGGAATGAATACTTGAATAGTGATTTTGAGTATTCAAGTATTGGCATCTTGAGTGGTTAACCAAGTACTCGAGGACCTGGGGACCTGGAAATTTAGAGTCTTGCTTTCTAGCCATGGAAAACACCTGGAAAATGAGACAGTTGCTAAAATGTCCTGGAAATATTTATGAAGTCCTGGACAAGTGTAAAATAGGGCTGTTAAGCCACTGAGATTGCATATTTTAGCTGCTGAAGCCCAGTCTGTTGAAGTTTGGATGCTGCAGTGTCTCATGTGGACAGATGAGCGCTATACCAGAGCACCATGTAGAACAAGGCCCACATAAATGCACACCAGCCTGTACACAACAGCCTCATGTATCACAGCGTGACATTATAAGTGGAAATGTGTGTCACATTCTTAAAGTGAGCGATCAACTGACCGTTAAAGCATTGTTAAGGTTTGTGTTAATGTGTGAGAAACAGCTCTCATGTATATAAGTCATAGAAAATGATCTGGATAACAGTGAAATTTATAATCACAAAACGTTAAATCTGTAATTTAAACACTCCCAGTCAAATTACATGTTTTGTTAATTTTTTAAGTTAAAATTTGTTAACACATACACTTCAAGGAAAACAAAAAACTTCCATATGCCATTTTTCTGCAGATTTTAGAGCTCAATTTCTGTGTGTTTGCTTTGTTTTAATAGAAATATATAAAATGTGTCATAACTTTTGCACCAACCACATTTATTTATTTATTTATTTTCAAAATGTGAAATTTGGCAAATAAACAGTAATTGTGCATTTAAATAAGCAGATTTGTGTTCTCTGCAGAGGATATGTTATTTTAGAAAAAGTACACAAACTTTTGCATATGACTGTATGTATGCATTGAAAAGGTCCTTAAATACAGTAAGATATTTTTTTGTATTTTAAGTCTCTGCTGCCTCCTGGTGAAGTAGAACCTTGATGCAATGCAGTGAAATCTTTAAGATTTTCACAGTTTGGGCTTTTCAGAAGTGGTAAACCTTATAATGCCATAACTTGGTTTCTGATTGAGATATATGAAAAATTCAAAAGTGGCATGTTACATTTTTACATTTATATATATATTTTAAGAAAAGTCCAAACACGTAAAGCTTTCACTGACGAAACAAATGGTTTACAAAGATTTCTTACACTCGTTCCCTGCTCTGGCACCAGAAATACACATTTACTAAACTTGTAACTCTGATGGCCACAAACTAGAAGAGGAGAAGGTGATTGGCCATTTCCGGCGGGACTCTGCTGAGTACCTGCGTTTTGTATGAGGAGTGGGCTGTTTTTAGACGCTCTGCATGAATAAGACATTAGGTCCTGGAGAGAGCTCAGCGGCTGGCAGCAGCACCAGCCTTCTGGAGTGTGTTTTATCAATGCCATTAGACTGAGCTCAAGTGAAACAATATGTTTACCCCACTGTTCCTGCTACTTTTTATTACGTGTGTGTGTGTGTGCATGTTGGACAGACAGAGAGGGTGTGTTTCTTTTAAATGTGTGAGAGAAAGAGAGAAACACGTTGACTGACTCGCGAGTCAGTTTGGACCTGCCCTTTACTGACTCGCAACCTGACTTGGACTCGAGATTATAGACTTGTAAAATTTGAGAAAGTAGAACAAACAAAACCGACTATATTTGCACTGCCAGCCTTAAAGCTGTAAATGAATAAAACTTTTCATTTTCAAGCTGTATGTGTGTCATAGCACTGTGCTACATGCAGTAAATGTGGGGCTTAAAGAAAACAGGCAAAACAACTTGAAATGGCTGGCTAGCATTTTGTTTGGATAGCAAGTATGCTAGCTTGGGCAATAGCTAATTTAACTGAAGTTGTCAGCTCATTTAGCTGAAGTTTTACTAAGTTACAGATCACATTCTTTTAAAACTGTCCAAAACTTAAGCAAGATGAGCGAACAACTTCAGATAAATTAGCTGTCGTGCAAGCTAGCTTACTTGCTATTCAAACTAAATGCTAAAACTTACTGAAACTTGACCTGAGTTAGCTATTAGCTAGCTAGCATACAACCTGTAGACCAACCAAGCATTTCAAGTCTTTTCTCCTCTTTGTTTGAAACACTGTGTTTACTGTGTGTTGCACTTTAGTGACCTTTAGGCCAGAACTTTAATCGGGCCAGAAATTTTGGTCCGAACCCCAGTACAGCCTGAGGACTTTCAACAAGACCTAAGCCACATCATCAAGTTTTGAGTCCAAACCTGGCCTGACTCACATCATTGAGTGTTGAGTCTGATGCATGAATGAACCAGTAGACTCCAAAATTACTTGGAATAAACATTCTTTACCTTAACTTACATTAAAAGTTAACAGTTGTGAACTTACCCTTTTGGAGATCATTTTTGCTTTGTTGGACAGCAGCAATATAACCAGAAATGTTTTAGGCCAAAGAAAGTAAGTCTAAATGTCTGTTTGACTGCACTAAACTGTTCTCCTTTGAATCAATTTATTTTATTTCCTGCATGTCCACTTTCTCATGAGTGTGGGTCTTGTTGACTTAGTAAGATAATTAAGGAGATAAACTAACGCAGAGTGATATGCCTGTTAAAGTCTGTTAAAACCAGGAGGCTGGCTGCAAAATCTGAACATGAAATTTGAAGCCAGTGCGAGCCCAACATATTTGGGAAATTAAGTCCCATTTTAGTCCAACCTGATGTGAGCAGTCAGGTGCCGTTGTGTACCGGACAAATATTTCAAGCTCTATTTCAGTTTGACAGTTTTTCCACAATAAAGCATTCATTTTTTAAAGCCATGCAGAACCCAACACATTTTTAGTAAGGATTTACTTTAGTACAGTGCAATACCTTCAGCTAATGAGACTAAATGGAAATTCTCTCCTAAAGACTCGAGACTTGACACATACTCGAAGCCCAGAGACATGACACTCGACTCGTACTCGCATTAAGTGACTTGTAAACATGTCTGAGAGACAGTTACTGTCTGTGAGAGGCAGATAAAGACTGTGAAAGCCTGTGTGTGTTTTAAAGTAAGATTTGACGTCACATGACACAGGTTTTCTCCATCCTAAGAAAATCCAATTTATGTTGGAGATTAGAGAGAGTTACCTTGGCGGCTGCTGCTGCTGCGGAATTAAGCCTCTTCTCCACGCTAATTACCCTGCAGATGAAAGAGTTAAGCACAGATCGCCTTTCACCAACCCCACCATTGCCAAAACTCAGTCTGTCTCCAATGTATATTCACCAGAGTGCTGTGTTGCTCTGAGAGAATTGTGGTAGGAGGGCTGTAAGGCCACTCAGTGAAGACTTCAGAGAGATAGCTCTCGTCCAATTCTCCCAAAGCAATGAAAGAGGATACACTACATAAAATACATTAATATGCAGTGTTAATTAGAGAATTTTTGTTTTCTTGGCCAAGCCTGTGAAAATATTGGTTTGTTTATCAGGAATTGAGGCAAAAATGATAATTTGCCAGTTTTTAGTAGAACTCTAGCGGGTCTGAGAGTTGCTGGTTGTTGGGTAAAATAACTTGTCTTTTTTCCATCAGCAATGCTGCTGGAGTTTTTAAACACTTTGTCCATTTGCTGTCTTTTAGGCACACCTACCTTGTTGGTCCACCTTGTAGATGTAAAGTCAGAGATGGTCGATCATCTGCTGCTGCACACTTTGTATTAGTCATCCTCTAGTCCGTCATCAGTGATCACAGGACGCTGTCTGGATGTTTTTGGTTGGTGGACTGCTCTCAGTCCAGCAGTGACTCCAGCAGAACCGCTGTGTCTGATCCACTCATACTAGCACAACACACACTAACACACCACCACCACAGCTGTGTCACTGCAGCATTGAGAATGATCCACCACCCAAATAATACCTGCTCTGTGGTGGTCCTATGGGGGTCTTGACTGTTGAATAACAGGGTGAAAGGGGGCTAACAAAGTATGCAGAGAAACAGAAGGACTACAGTCTGTAATTGTACAACTACAAAGTGCCCCTATATGGTCAGTGAACCTGATGAAATGGACAATGATTGTAGATTGTAGGAGGCATACTTGAATTGACCGATCCTCACATCCTCTATAGCGAACACATTTAAAACTTAAATATGGATTTAATTTTAGTGCACAATTTCTGTTTACTTGCTGAGTTAAAACTTGTTGCTTGAGCTTTAACTTGTTAAAAAAGAAAGTAAATATAAAATATAAATGTGCCATAACTTTTAGGATACATTGTATGGCTTATTTTATTTCTGATATGTTAAATTCAACAAATAAACAGTAAATAAGAGGAGAATACAGAATATATTTTGATATTTTGATATTATGATATTTTAATTTTAGCGGTGTTGACAAATAACTATAACTT